TGCCGGTGAGGGCCGTGCAACTGTACACAGCAAGGAATTCCGGTACAAAAGCCCAGGCGATCTGACAAACATAGCCAGAACTTGCTCTTACCAATCATCTCTTTGGGGAACACCCCAAGAACTTTCAGCCCGTGATGCCAAAGTTAGGTTCTCATCCCCTGCTGCATGTATTCCAAAACCTGCGTGTTCCATTTGAGGTGACTAACCAGTAATAACCTCGCAGCAAATTGACATGGAACTTTAGAGCAGGGCCTTGTCTTGCTCAATACGATATTGGCTCGGCCGCTGATCAAGTCAATCGGCAGGATTGTACAAAGGCGGAAACGATCCGCCCACAAAGAATGCAGCTTAGTGCCTGAAAGGCCAAACAGGACCCCGGATTCTTTTCTTGTCCAGGGGTTCCCTCCTTGAATGCGGAGCCAGATTCGCAGGTTTTCACTATGGTTTTAGCTGAAACTGCGGCCAGTGCCTACACTTGGTAGCTTGTTTCCCATCCAAGCTGAAGGTTTGTGGGTACCCGGCCCTGAACAGCAACCACACCCATAGTCAACACCGATCTTTTTCTTAAAACGGTCCACCCAAAATCATAGACCCTTCCTCCCGCATTTGCGGGGAAGATCGACTTCCTCTTCAACGGACCTAGGGTCCTCCCATAGAGAGGTTAGAATACGGGTATGTACAAAAAAAATCGGTAGCTTATTTTAGTAGGGGAACTCCCTCCTAACCAAAAACAAACCGGTGGAAGGGGGCACCTAGCTGGGGGACCTAGGGGCCCTCTGTCAGGCGCCATCTGAGTCCCCGGCCGCCGCGATGGCCGCTGCGGTGGGGTCCCCCGCCGCCGGCGCCTCTCGCCAAGCGGAACGGCGAAAGGCTCCAAATCCGAGATCTGTAGCTTCGGGCCGAGAAACCCTCACAAACGGCTCCCCAAAACTGGCATGTGGAACGCGGATTGTCAAGACTGGTTCAGTCTCAAGACTTCAAGATGCCCAGGGGAAACCGGGGAAACTATTCCCATGGAAAATGCAGAAAAAAAGGGGGGCTTCCGCTTGGTTTTGAGCCACCGACAGGGAGCACACGCAACAACGACCCACCCGTCTCCGCCTGAGCCGGCGCAGGCGCCGTGGCCGGGGCCTCGGGGGATTTCGAACGGCAAGCGCGGAAGTCCCAACCGCACTTTCTGGAGTCTCCTTCTCACCCTGCCAACATGGGGTCACCCCAAAGAAAGGGGTCATGACCCCATGTTTGAAGCGCGGATGGAGACTTCATGCAATGTTGACCCCCGATTTGTCTAACCCCTGAGTTGATTGCTTTTTGTCGGAGCGTGGGCCAATTTCATTGGCGCAAAACCGCTGCTCCGGGCTGCAGAAAATGGAGGGCTGGAGATCCTAACCCACAAAGGATTAAACCCTAAGATTACCACAACCTAAGGGGGGAACTCGGGATTGACTTTGAACAACAGGGGCTCTGGTTCTTTTTCAGATATTGTATTCCGCCAGGTAACATGGCGAGCGTACTGGGTAGACACAATAAACACCCTGGGAATAGCACATAACGATACATATATATATATATATATATGCATGTATGTGTATATGCGTGCATGCATGTGTATATGCATGTATTTATGTGTGTATGCATGTATGCATCTAATCGCAATTCTGTTCCACGGTGCGTGTGTCCCATTCGGAACCCACCATCCTGTTGCAGCTGTTGCTTCACTTTGGGTCAGAAACCTTCACAACGGCTCACGCGCAGCCCGGCAAGCCATCCTTTCACCCTCATGTTGCTTTCATGTTGCTTTGCAGGGGGGGGGGTGTTGAAGAATGTCTCATCTCCATAAATGGATCTGGAGACAGTGCCAGATATCAAGCCAACTTCCATTTGGGGAAACATCCATAAAAGTCTATTTGGCTAAAGTGGATGGCAACCGGTACGGGGTTTGAGCCAAACTGAACTAAAAAGCCCACCTATGCATTTGCATCCTTTGGCCATTTGGCACCCAGTGTTCATACTTTGGATGGACGAAATCCTACACCACCTAAGAAACCCTGTCATGATGAGTCCACTGAGAATACCAAAAAGAATGGTTTCCCATGATTTGAAAGCGGTGCGGGATTTTGTCCATCCACAGTAGCTTGTCGCTTTCAAGGCTCCCTCATTCCAGTTCTCATGCGTGAAAGGGGCATGTGTCCAAAACGGCGACCTCACAAGTCATGGCTTTCCCCTTGTGCCATCCTGAAAAGGCCGACAAAAGAACGGGCATCCCGAAATGGAGATCAGGTGGCTTGCCCCAAAGCAATTATGCGGTAAGTTGGCAATAAGTTAAACACCAAAAATAATAAGCGAAAGCAACCTAGCAATGCCGACCCCTACTGCCAAGGGTGTCCCTTCTTTAGCGGGATGTGTTTTTGTTCAGGGCTGGCAAACAACTGCGGGGTTCAAACAATCCATGAGTCGACATGCTGCATGACTAAGCCTTCAGTTGGTACATATTGGCTGTCCCATTTTAGAGAGATCCAGATCACTTGCTGGGACACCCCGGTCGTAGACGTGGGTACGAAGAACCAAAATTGATTTGAACAAATCAGAGTTGCGCCATCTAAACAATCGACTGGCCCAAGCCTGACACCTCACTCCACCTGAGCCACCCAGCCCACTTGGGGTCCGCATTGCCACTTTCATGAAAAATGTAGGCACCGTATATCTAAAATGGCTTTCACTATACCCCCCCCCGAGGTTCCAATGCCATATACAATCACATGGCCAAGGGTAGCCCTGTTTTCCCTCGGGCGGGATGGTGTTCAGGTACAAAAGGAATAACCCACCAGCCTGTTTTGACCCAGGGATTGTGCAAAAAGGAGACACGCTTACCCAGATTCTCCAAGGGCCTTCAAATGGAATCTCCAGGCTTCAAAATGGATTGCCATCATACACTCTTTTTTGGTTGTTGCAACCCTGTTAAAGGGTCAGGTGCATCAGTAAATCGTAGCGGTCAGTTTCCAATCTTCACCTCCGATACCATTTTCAAAAATTCCGTCCCTCGGCTTCAATCAAAAAGGGTTCCATTCCCTCGATAAGGACGAGCGCTTAAAAATCTGAATCCAAAGCCCCAATCCAAAGCAGCAACGGTGGGGGATCCACCAATTCCATTGATCCGGTATTTTGATAGGGAGAATGGTTGCCATATGGCCATTCTGCTTAATCCGGGGTTAACATTACCTGCGAACGCCACTCGCAGTGGGCCCCCGGCCAAGGCTTGCAGCGCCGCGGCGTAGGCCGCCCAGTCTTGCGCCATCGCGCGATCGCCGTCTCCCGAGCCGTCGGACCGTCGGACGGGCGGGTGTCTTCTTGACTGCGTCGAACGACCCCAAAACTTGGTGGACGTTGGGTTTGGGGAGCAAAACAAATATGTTTTGAGCGGTGAAGTGTTTGTTGGATTCCAACCATTAAACCACAATAAGAAATAAACATGTAAAAAGGTTCCCAACAACAACCATGAAAAGGGGCACCTTCAACTTCCTTTTGGGCACTGGCAACCGGCCAGCCATTTCCGTCAAAACTGGGGATTTCCCACTAAACCACAATCAGCAAAAATGTAAAATGTTTCCCAACAACAACCATGCTAGGAAGACTTTCAAGGCGTCACCTCTTGCCATCCCCCAAGACCCAGACATATTTCAGGGGATCACCTTTCTGGGTCACTAAAACACGGAGTCACGGAACTGGATGGGGAGTGAGGCCAACGGAAGCCAATCCAATCGCTTGGGGCCAAACTCACATATTTCTGGAGACAAGCCCAAAAGAAGGAAGACATACATCAGCCCCAACAACTGCAAGAACCATGCTCCAAAATCCCCAAGTGTCAATAGTCAGGTGGGGGGGTAGTATACTTCCAGTTGGCTTTGTTTGACTTATTTCCCCCATTTCGAGGGGCTTCTATCACTACTGGGAAATTGTGTTTTCCCCCCGGGGAAAAAGCAAACGGAAGTGTAGGCCTTCCCTGGCACCCACACAATGAATCGGGAAGAGTCGGCTAAAAATAATGTTTTAAGCGGGGAAGGTCCCTTCTCTTACCCTTAAAACTCCAAGCCCTGGGGAAGTTAATCTTTTACAGACATATAGCCCATGTTACCCCCCAAAAAGTTGAAAATTTGTGTTTTTAAGAGGTCCCTTCTTCAAGGGACGCAACACTTTCAATACAGCTTGAGATCTGTTGACACCCCTGGCGGAATCAAAGGGCGTATTGAAGAGTTGGCTGCCAAGCTTTTTCCGGAAGAACGATCAAGCCCCAAAACAGTGATACTGTGGATGGACGAAATCCATTTCGCACCACCTAAGAAGTCTAGGAATGATGATTCTCTTGTAAATACCAACGGACAATGGTTTGTCATGGTTTCAAAGTGGTGAAGGATTTCGTCCATCCACAGTATGGCGGTGGGGGTTCGCCAGCTACAGCCTCCTCTTTCGGGAGAACGATATCCAGTTCCTGCCTGGGCGCTTAGACGCCTCACACTGACATAAGCATGAGCACGGTCGCGTGACTGTCTGTTTGTGACCTCTGTTCAGGTCTGGGTGGGCGATTGAAATTAAGGTGGGCTGGATCTCTCCTGTGGCTGGCGCGAATGCGGCTTAGAGATAGGTTGCTTGTACTGCTCTCTGTTTGTACCCGTGCCGCAGTTGAGCAGCTACGCAGCGACGAGAGAGCAATGATGGCGCTGGAAGCTGAGGGGTAGATGTGCTTAACGTAACCTTCGCTGCGTGTCAAATATCAGCTTCCCTGGAAAAGGGCGGTTTGGAGCCCGGTGGTTTGGTGATAAAGGGGTGGGTTCCCATTCAGCCTCTACAGGAGCCAGTCGCAATCCAAAATCCATACCTGTAATAGAGGTACTTCAGCAAACAAAAACCTTTACCAACATCCTTCTGGTTTCCTTTTGGGAAAGTCAAACAGTGCAGAGTTTAACACCCATCTCTGTCAGATTCCACATGCCTGCTCCAGCTCTCTTCTCTAACCGCCCTGCCCTCCCGTCTCCCCTGTTTCCTCAAAATTGGTCGGAGGAAAAGAAAGGCAAGCTGGGGGGTGGGGGGGGCGGGGTTACTCTCCCTCTCATTTTTCTCAGAGCTCATCTGGCATTCCCTTGTCCTCAGATGTAGCAACGGCCGAGCATCAAAAACCAGGAACTCTTACCAGGTCTTACATCATGGTTTCGGCTGGGTATCTAAAAATGGTAACTGGTAGCGTTGAGAAGGGCTAAGCACAAATCACGCTTAGAGTCCACAAGGAGGTGCCTCAAGTACGGTACACGTTCTTGAAGCCACTCTCGTATAATCATTTCACCCCTTCAACAAGGCTAGATATGGGGTTTTCTTGAGCCAAAGTATCCTTCTGAACTTAGGCCCTTGGGCTCCCCCTTAAAGGATGCATTTGAGCTAGTTAATGTTGACCAAATATCAATCAACCCCATTTTTTTGTTTACTCATAGGGGTGTGTGCCTGGGTTTAGTGGGGAATCATCACTCCACCACCACCACTACCAACACCACCACCTCCTCAAAATAGGCGGGCTGCAAGGGGCCAACGATTGTGACTACCGGCGCCCCTTTACCAACCAACCAACCAACCAAGCAAGCAACCAACCAACCAACCAACCAAGCAACCAAGCAACCAAGCAACCAAGCAACCAAGCAACCAAGCAACCAAGCAACCAAGCAACCAAGCAACCAAGCAACCAAGCAACCAACCAAGCAACCAAGCAACCAACCAAGCAACCAAGCAAGCAACCAAGCAACCAAGCAACCAACCAAGCAACCAAGCAAGCAACCAAGCAACCAAGCAACCAAGCAACCAACCAACCAACCAACCAACCAGAGAGACAGAGAGACAGAGAGACAGAGAGACAGAGAGACAGACAAACAACCAAGCAACCAACTAACTAACCAACCAACCAGACAGACAGACAAACACATAACCAGACAGACAGACAAACAAACAACCAACCAGACAGGCAAACAGACAAACAAACAAACCGAAAACACGCCAATAGCCTTGTTTCAAGCGAGGCTCGTCCCAGCGCACGTCGCACTTCGGCATCCGCCGCTTCTTCTCCTTGCGGATGGCGCGCTCTGTGGCAGCCCAGGCTGCGAAGGTGTCCAGGAACTCGGCTTTGGACACGGTGCCGTCCTCGTCCTCGTCTTCTAATGTTGACCCCGGAGTAATAACTTGCTTAACTCGGTTGCTTTCTGCTCCCCTGCTAAAAGTTTAACTTTTAGTGGTTTAGTGGAAAACCCATGAGTTGGCAAAAGGTTAAAGTCCTAACAGCCAAGCAACATGCACCAAAGTTAACACTGTGGATGGACGAAATCCACTTCGCACCACCGAAACCATGAGACACCATTGTTGGTATTTACTTTGGAGAATCAACATTTCAGGGTTTAGGTGGTGCGAAATGGATTTCGTTCATGCACAGTATGGGGGTGTTCCCCTGCAAAAGTGAGAATCCCCACTAAAAACAGGGACACCCCCATATTGATAAGGGTGTTGGGAATGAACCGTTTTGGGATTCCTTCCATTTGGATAAGGCCCCAGGAAAAATGAGAAAATATGTCCAGTAGTGATGAATCTCTTTTAAACCCAACAAGGGAAATAATAATAATAATGATAATATAAATATTCATTTCAGCAAATGGAGGCTTTGCGGGGTGTTGGGGATGAACCGTTTTTGGATGCCCTTCAAGGAAGCCATAGGATGGATGGTTTATCGGGATCATTCCCTCATTCAACCTGCAAGATAAACAGAGTCGACAAAGCGAAACTAAGAGGGATGAGGTGAGCACCCGACACCCATCTGACGCTTAATCCACTAAGCTGGCTATGGCTTACACAAGCCTCGCTATGATCCCTTCTAATTGTTTTTTTCGTCCCCTGGCAAGAACACATATTTCCGGAAGTGAAATCGATTTCCTTCATCAAAATCTAAATCCCAACCACCAAAAGGTAGCCTGACATACATCTCTTAAGGAGAACCCAAGCAGGGCCGCTTAAAGCGTACATTTGGCCCTGTTTCAAACCAGGGGGCCACTCGTTGACCACCCCACCGCAGGGTGGACTTACACCCAGGGAATACCCTCCAAAGGGGAGCTGAGTTTAAGGTCGTGGGGAAGTCGACAAGCGCAACCCTGGTTCAAACATCCTGCAAAAAGCAATGGTCAGTAGTGATAGGTTCCCTTTATTACCAACTCGCAACAACAACATCTATTGGTTGATACTGACTCCTCTGCGCAAAGTATTGAAAATCCACTGTTTCCCATATAGTTAAAGTCAAAAAAATAACCCGACCTGTTTTCTATACCGATTTATTCCGTTTATTCACGTAGGATGGAAGAAATCATTGCGGAAGGCCACCGGGGATCCGTCCCATCCAGCTCCAAGTCCCGGCGGCGACCCGTTTTTCTGCGGGCTGGCGCCTGACTGACGCCGCCCATTCTCACAACCCGGGACCCGAATGGGGCTCGCGAAAAGTACATCTTCCATATCAAATCTAAAAGAAAGGCGAAGTCCTCCAGATTTGAGAGGGTAGAAGAAGGGTACCGTTTCTTTTGTCGGTTTTGTCTATTTTAGTAGGGGAACCCTCCCCCCAAAAAGGGTGAGAAAGGGCACTACTGGTGGACCTAGAAGGGGTTCTGTTCCACAGGTCTTCCATACTCAATCTGGAATATGGGGTTCTGTTCCACAGCTACCTGCCAGTTGCAAATTCTGCTAGAAAAAGTCACCGGCCACTTGTTGTTTGCCACCAAAATGGCAACCAAACTCCAAAAACCAAAAAAGTGACCTGCAGCTCCGAAACGGAACTCGCCGGAAGTGAAGAGAATGGAGGCCGGCCCCCAATTTTTTAATTTTGATCACTAGCTCAAAGGGTCTAGGAATGACAGGTTCATATGGCTGTGGCTCAAAAATAGGTACCCAAAATGGCACCTTGGTAAATGGAACCAACAACTAAAACCTGCGTAACCCTGGCTCTTAAATTTTGAGCCACACCCATATTTTGGATCCCTTTCTCAATTCGGCCAAAGGAAACCACAAGCTCAAAAGGTGGATCCGCTTTCAACCACTTCAGTCATCCACTCTTCTCAAGGCGAAAGGTAACCATAAATGGAGATCTGCCGTCGTTTTCTCGCCCCCTCCCCCAATTTCCCAGTTTTTTTGAATGCCGTGTGTGGATGCTTTTGGCATGCGGTCCCTTGTATCTTTCCGAGCGTCCAGGTCGTAGAAATCCAGCTCCTCGGCCGTCCAGGTTCCTCGCTCGAAACAACTGCGACGGCCCATAACCCGCGAGCTATGGATTTGGTGGGTCTGGAGCTTTTTGGTTCGGGAGGAGCAGCCTGGAAAAATTATAGGGGGTGATTCCTTTCCCATTCTTTTCAACCATCGTTTTTTTCAAAAACCGGATCTGTTTCGCCTAGGGTTCTGTTGGTTTTCTGGAAAGAAGGATCCCTGGAAGGGAATGGGGAAGTGTCCCCAAGAAAAATCGCACGGCGAGCAGGGAGACTCAAGGTCACCCAATCTCGCCAAGCCTTGGACACTCAAAATACCCTGAAAGATGGGTGTAAGGGTGGTTTGCGGGATCCAGGTAAAACTGTTCATGGTTTGTTTGGACCGCCAAGTGGCCCCTTTTTTCTGCCTTTGTACTGGGTCAAAGGCGGAAACAAATATTGGCTTTTGCGGGGGTCCAGGTTGTTTGGACCTCCCGGTGAATCGAGACTCAACCTCTTCGCCATGTCTCCGGCCCTCTTCTCGAAGATCTGCTCCGCCGTTTTGGACACCGCGTGTGGGTCTTTGGGCAGCTTGCCCGGCCAGCTCCTCAGAGGAAAAATGCCGTCAAAAGGGTAGGTATTGGTTTTATAAACCATTTACCAGGGCCCAAAAAAGGAAAAACAACGGTAGCCACAGGCAGGTATTGGTTTTAGAAACCATTTACCACGGCCATCTCTATTAAAAAGAAGAAGGAAAAAAAAAAAAAAAAAAAAAACGGGAGCCACACGGCAGGTAGTGGTTTTAGAAGCCATTTTTACCAGGTCCGGCTATTTTACCCAAAAAGACGCCTACGGCAGCCACTACACGGTTGGGAGCCATGGTGGATGGAGTCTGCAGGTGGACCAGCTTCCGGGGCTTCCACGAAATGGGAACATATTTCCAGGAGTGATGAATTCCTTTTAAACCCAACAAGGGGAGAAAAAAAAGAAGTTCATTTCAGCAAATGGAGGGGGGCAGCCTCATGGCAAGGGCTTACGCCGGACTCGCGACTCGCAGCCGGGTCTCATCATCTGCCGCCAGCATGCATTGAGATCCCCCACCCGCCGGAGCCGGTTGTAGTAGCTGCGGAAGTACCTGGCGCAGCTTCGAAGATTCGCTTGAGTCGAAACCCGGTACAAAAATGGTCGACCCGGAACTATGTAAAGAACTAAGAAGGCGGCCGCAGCTGTTTATGGCTGTGTTTCAATTTGGTTAAGACCCCTCAAAAAATAAAACTATTTCCAGTAGCGATGGGTTCCCTTTAAAACCAGAGGAAAATAATAATAAACATAATACCAATAAAACAAACTTAAGCAAATGGAGGTGTGAGGATTCACTTGGAAACATCGGCCTGGGCGGTCCGTTTGCTGATCTGCGAAAAGACTACGTTTAACTTGTGGGATAGACTTGGAAAACCCAACCACTGAACCAACCCAAAAAAAATCAACGAACCACACCTAAGAAACGGATGGGCACCACCAAGTAACCTCATGCCTCCCTTCCTAAGTGGGTTGGCCAAAAGCACTGGAAGCTTGCCACTAATTGGTCTTCCCTAAAGTTTCAAGTCCTGACAAATCCTTTTGGAGTGGAAACATCGCCTGGGTTGTCCGCTTTCTGATCTGCTACAAGTCGACGTTTGACTTGTGGGTTGGACTTGGGAAACCCAACCACTGACCGAACCCGAAACAAAAATCGGGTCAACAAATGCAGTTGAAACAAAGGCTTCGCCAAACTACGGCTCTTCCGTTCTGACATTCAAAAGGTTTGGTGGTTTGGAGGGGTTTCCCAGGAAGCAATCTCCAAGAGCAAGGGACCCGCTCAAATCTGTGCAGACTGGAACACATTTCAGGGGATCCGTTTGAAGGCTTCGATTAAACGAGGTCCACTCGCTTGCACAAAAGGACACTCATGGGTGTAGCATCCGAAAGGAGCCCATTTGTTCGAACCCATTCAACTGGTCGCCCCAACATGTCTTGGTTGCTTTCTGCTCCCCTGCTGAAAGTTGACAACTTTTAGTGGCTTAATTCGGAAAACCCCTCGGCCAAAAGTTATCCAGTCCTAACATCCCTTGGCAAAATGCACCAAAGCACCCCTTGTTCATACTGTGGATGGACAAAATCCTGCACCACCCAAGAAACAATGGGGAACCATTGTTTGTTGGTATTTACGTTGGAGAATCGAATCATTCCCAAGGTTTCTTAGGTGGTGCCTAAGAGGATTTCGTAACCATCCACAGTAGCTCTTGGCTTCCCTGGTTTTCCCAACCCGCTTTATAAGGGGCGCACTCACCTATACACCCCAAGACGTGGGGAGAGGGCTATGAACATCAGGCCGTTCATTTGTCGGTATGTGAAAAGTACAGGCACCCGACCCAGGAACTGAGCCCCTTTCTTGGTTGACGTTGGGTTTGGGGAGCAGGAATTCTCAAGTTTTAGCAGTTAAGTGGGGAATTCAACCTCTAAACCACAATAAGCAAAAATGTAAAATGCTTCCCAACAACAACCATGATTTTGCTTTGGATCGTTCTTGGGCACCACCGTTCAGAAACCCTCGGCAACCCCACAAAAAAACATGTGAAGCCCATATTGGGTTCATTTGCCCAAGCAAAAATCCGCGCCAGCGGGCTCCAAACCGGTGACCTGCTTGGAACTGACGAACTGACCGAGGCGAGATAAGTTGTCCAGGGATCCAGATGCATACACCTGAACATTGCAACTTGTAAATGGTGGGTTCCAACTTTATTTTGGTGTTGAAAAAGCAACATGGTTCAAATGATTGCAACATGAATTTCTTTTGAGGAGCCCTGTTGTCCTTGGCCCGCATTTTGTTCCGGGGCCAATGCCAGGCCGGTGTGGGTTTTTCACACTGCCTGGAGCCTCTGACTCAACCTGTCTGCAAAGAACAGGAGTTCTTTACATATAATTTTGGGCAACCCATTTAGATGAACCAATGGGAACAAAAGCAAAGGCACGGAGCCAAAGCAAAAAGGCGGCACCCAGAATCCTTGCCAAACATCTGCCCCCCCCCCCCCCACTCACCCGCGAGCACCTCACAGGCGGAGGGAAGTCGAACCTCAGACGAAGGCGCAGGACACTTTCATCCCCACATATCGCCTGGGCATCAGGGACTACCATGTCCCTAACCAGAACTCCTGGTACCTCTGAAAGGCTCCCCCTTTAACATGTGGTTTTTTGGCTGGCAAGGGCATCTCCTGGACAACTTGGTCAATACCTTCGATTTGAAGCCCAGGTATCCCCCGCAACCTCCTTTTGAGGGCTAGCTTGCAGGAAGGGAAGCCGGTTTAGAACAACTCAATCCCCAAAAAACTAAACTGGAATGGAATGGACTCAAACAGAACTCCACCTTGGCTAGAAACAAGCTGCGGTTTGTTTCCCCATCTGCAGTCTTCGAATTGCTCGCACGATGCGACAATGAGGCTTGAGCCAATATATTCTGGGTGGACATTCGGCATTTTCCGCACATTGTGTCTAGGGCGATGTGATCAAATTTAGCTGCCAACACTTGCCTGCCATGTGTTCAAGTGTTTCTTTTTGCGCTCTCATCAATTAGCATGTCCTCTGCAATTATTATCATCACAAACGCTCACTTCCTCAGTGGATACCCAAAAAGTGAGACCACAGTCTGAAACGGAACTCGTTGGGAGCGTGCCACGCCATGACAAGTAGACCACCTATGCAAAAAGCCCACAACCGCGGTAAATCACCGGTGAATTGGAGAGTTCTCTAGTTCCTGTACTGGCGATATCGCTGTGGGTCAAAAAAAGGAACCCAAAATGGGCTGCCCTGGGAAATGGAAACATGGACTACTAAACCCTGCGGTTCAATCCTGGTTTTCAGCTTGGCGCATACCCATCCATATTCAGCTTCCTTCCGGATTGGCGGTTCGGCGTTCAGGGAGGGGTTCCCCATGTACCCTCTACAAGAAACCAATCCAAACCACCAACTAGGGGTAACCAGAAATATCGAAAGTCGCCAAACCCTCACACGGAGGCCCGGCCGTGTGGCAAGCCTAGGCACATCTCGGGGGAACCTGACATAGAGCGAGCCTCGGCTTCCAGCCTTTCCCCCCCACTGCCCAAGGCCGAGGCGCTGGGTGGTCAGCGCCACGGTGCAGCCTTCTGCCGTGTTCAGCGTCTCGTGGATCCACCCCGGGGGGAAAAGCACCGCCTGGAGCCAAAAGAAAAAACACACACACACACGGCGGGGGCTGGACTGGGCGAAAAACATATATGAAAAAACAAAACACGCGGGTTAGGGGTTGGGGGGGGGGGGGGGGGTTGGGGGGAATTCTTCACCCATGCCCCATGAAAACATTTGGGTCCAGTTCGGGGATGGTCATCCCCTGCGTCCCTGTGAGGAACCGACCAGTTTGGTTCCGATCGCTTGGTGGCACGCGGGGGTTTGACTGGGGCTTCTCAAAAGGAGCTCACTTCCGATCGAGATGGGCCAAAGTCGCCGAACTTGTTTCTAGACCCTCCAGATTTGAGAGGCCAGAATAAGAGTGCCCTTTTTCTGTAGCCCACCTTAGTAGTGGAACCCTCCCCCAAAAACAGGGTGAAAGGGGGCACTAGTGGAGACCTAGTTTTGGTTTGCCGCTCAAATGATCCCAATTGTTGCTCTCTTTTGGGGGGAGGTTCCCTCCATTTTCGAGTGCGTCGTCCCCGGGGAAAAGTACGAGTTGCCAATGGAACAGAACAAATATTTATTTAGCAAATGGAAGGAAGGAAATATTTTCAGACACTCGTTTTTGGTAGCCGGAAGCCCCCATCTGTAAATGGAACCTGGGAGCCTCCAAAGAATCGCCTGGAGGTAGTGGTTTAGAGGTTGTGGGGTGGTTTTCCGTTTACCCACAAAACCAGGGCTTCAAATCCAAATCAAGCCAAAAAACCAAGGGTTTCCTGAAGACATGTTGGATCACTTTGGGCATGGGGGCTTTATAGGAGGCTCCGAGGCAAACTATACTGGGATGACTGATGAGGGAGGCGCCCCTTCCCGGCCAAACCGAGCCCCAGTTACCAGTTGAGCGGGCCAAGTTTGGACTTTTCTCTGGCCAGGATTAATACACCCGATCCATTATTAGGGGGGTGAAACCCCTCCAAAAGTGGTCTGAATCCCCCACTAAAAGGGTACACCCGCCCTATTAATCAACCAGAGGTTTATTAATCCGGGGTTAACATTACTCGGCGGAGTGAGTGAAAGATGTCCAAACGTTCGGGTGTCCGATGCGAAACGGTTTCGTCGTCTGGCAGAGGCCCAACAAGTTGCAAGCGCTGCTTCTAAGCTGTCGTTGTTTACCGCTAAAATGGTGTACCCAAAAAGTTTATAAAGTCCGGCAACTCAGGGAGTGAGTTAACCATCTGCCATTTGCAGAACCCGCATTGCTCGTGAAACATCAGCCTCTTGGGTTCCCGCCTTCGAGTTGGAGTGCCTAATCTGTAAGGGGACGCACGGTCAAACCACATGGGAACCTCTCTTTTTTGCGCGTGGAATGCCAAGGAGAACGCATGTTTCTCTTAAAAGGGGGTACACCAAAACGTGTGCATTGAATGCGAGGGCAGGCGAAGAACTGGGAAACTGTCCAACTATTGCTATGGCTTGGCCACAAAAAGCGGGCTGTTTTTTGCAGCCCCAAATGCTCTTGGAGGGACCCCCTCTCACGTGCCATGTTAGCGGGAGAGAGGGTAGTGATCCAACGACCGCGAAGGTTACGTCAACTGAGAATTCAACTCCCTTCGGAGAGCCCTTTATGGCTCCGTTCCACCTGAACCCTCGGCTCGCCTCACCCTCCCGCACGGTGAACTCGAACATGGGCTTCCAGCCCAACCTGAGCTGAGCAGGGCGGCAGGGCTGTTGCCCGAACTTCCCCAGGAAACGGACCTATGGTGAGCTCGTGTTGCCGCCCCAGGCCGGTGGAACAAGCTCCGCACATCGGTAGAATCCGGAGGATCTGACTAAGAAATCCCAAACAATCCCCAAAAAGGTGAATGAGTCCCCACTAGGGGCTTGAGAGTCCCTGTGGTCCAGATGCAACAAGTGCCTAGGCCTACTATAGTGGGAACTGGGTCTGACTTCGACCTGCAAGTGGGCAAGTTGTGATTCTTGAGTGGATTGGCTAAACATTACACAGGCATAGACCCCAAACAGCGAAAAACATGTCAGCAATTGCACAACAGCACCTCCAACAGCACCCCCGGAAGAGCGCCACAAACATCTCCCAAACTGTACGCCCCTCTGCACCCTGCCGCCCAATCTCGCGCCAGCGTCAGCCCCCAATCGCTCCCAAATAGCACCCCCAAAGCATCCAGCCGTCAATCTCGTGAAAATACGCCCGCACCGTCACCGACCTCAAACTGCACCCCAAACTCCATGCCCCCTAGCACGCTACCGTCAATCTGGCAACAATGCGCCCTCACCTGCATGCCCGCTCGCTAGCACCCGGCCGTCAATTTCAAAAAAGCCACTCAAACAGCGCGCTCAAACAGCACCCCAAAACAGCACCTACACCAGCACCCCGCCGCCCCCTAGCACCAGCCCAATCTCGCCAATAATTGTCCATTCCTTGTTAGAAGTTAGAACCCCTATAGCGTTCTGCTAACTGGGGGAAAAGTCCAAACTTTTTGACTTCCCAAAGGTATAAAGTGATCTTCTCGTATTTGAGTCGCAATCAAACCTGGTATTAAACAGCTTCCCACAGCCATGCTTTTGTTTGCCCGCGGCCGGACTCTGCCCTGCTCAGCACAGCAACTTGTAGGCCACCCCATCGTCAAAGACCACCTCGTCGTCACCTGGCCACAACTTCTCGTTACGCGGACCTCCGAGAAGGCTACTCTTGGAGCTCGAGACCCAAATAAGACCCCCTGCCGCAAAGCAAAGAAGGGGGGGGTGTCACCCAATCCATTTATCCAGTTTTTCCAACAGAAAGGATAATGAAACTATACATGGAGATCCCCAATGGTCGTTCTCTCCATGAACCCGGTGCACATCCTTTTACCCCTTCGAGGTCCATGCAGGATTGCAAGTCAACCAAATCTCCTCTTTGCATGGCTTGGCAAAAAGGTTACTGGATGTTGCAGCCCCCCAACCTAAAAATGAACAGAACCAAAAAAGCAAAAGCCTTCAAATCGCGAAAGATGAACAGAACTAAAGCAAAAACACAAACCTTCAACTCAGTTGCCCAAAGGACCTGGAAATAAAAGGTCAACCTTTTGGGGCCATGACGCACAATGGATCAACATAAGAAAACCAAAAAGGTCAGATCCGGTCGATTCGCTTTGGACAAGTGAGTCAATTGGGTCAAACTCAGTCCAAGATCAGCGGAGACCTGCATGCTACCACTCGGTTGCTTTCTGCTCCCCTGCTAAAAGTTTAACTTTTAGTGGTTTAATACGGAAACCCATTAGTTGGCAAAAAAATAAAGTCCTAACATCCCTTGGCAACATGCACCAAAAGCAGGGCAATTTGACAAAAACCACTTACAGCCTTATAGGTCGAATGGAACAAACTCCTTGTGGGGGACAGCCAGCAACCTCGCTCCACCTTGGCTCACTGGCTGAGTGGACGGCCCAAAAAAAGTCCAAACTTTATATTTACCACTAAAATGGTCTTCCCAAAAAGTTTAATATAGACTTTTCAAGAGTCGCAGACCCATCCGCGCCCCCCGCCAATTCTCCCGCCCGGCCCATCCATCCGCCTGAGCGGCCCGCGCCCTTGGGCAGCCGCGGCACGGGGCCGATGCGCCAGCGCCGCGCGCCGTGCAGCACCACGCTCAAGGTGCTGATGCCTGGGTCCCAATCCGCCCCTCAGCTTCCCCCCCAATTGGCTTCCATTTGGTTTTAAGGCCCCAGGCCCAGTAGTGATGAATTCCTTTTAAACCAACAGGGAAAATATAACATTTGTTTAAGCAAATGGAGCCTACCCTCAGCTTCCCCTTGGTGGTTTGGAGCCAAATCAGGGGTTTGGTGGTTCAGGGGCAGGCTTCAAATCCCCAGCCACTCCTCCAAACCACCAATCAAGGCTGATACCCGGATTCGGTCTCCTCCAAAACGTTTGCTTATAGTTGGGGAAGATTAAAAGATTATGAACAACACATTGGGGTCCGTTTCCGGGGACCATGAACCGTCCCAGTTGGCTTGTTTGACACCTTTGCCATTGCAAGCCCCAGCGCACCTTGGGTAGACTGTGTTGGGATTTTGGGGAAGAGTCAATCCGAAAATTCACCAATTCTGGACCAGGTCCTTGAGTAGAGAGGTTAGAATAAGGGTACCCTTTTTCTGAAGTCTATTCTAGTAGGGGAACCTCCCCCAAAAAAGGGTAAAGGGGCACAACTGGGGGACCTAGTGAAGATATTATTCTCCGTACCCCATGTGCCAAGCTGCACACCTCTCTGGCTTGCTGCCCCTGCAAGAAGCTCTCAACTGCCACGCACCTGCTCCTAAAACGTTAGCGGGTGAAAGATCCCACCGAATAGCAAACAAGAAACTACTCCCCCATTTAGATGTTCAACCCGAAGAGTAAGCAGGTCATGAGCATTGGTAAAGGGAACCAACCCTGGTTTCCACACTGATTGCAAGTGCTGCCATGGCTGCACTAGCTAACTCAGCGATGTTGTAAGGGACAACGCTGAGAAACCGTGCGGTGACACAAAGGGCCATGAACATCGACCCTCTGCCATCCGTTCAGGCTCGAAGCCCTAGGCATAGGCTTGGTGGGGGGCCTTCCCGGAAAAAAAAAGGCCCCCCACTCAAATTAACCAGACAACAAAGCTACAGCCAAACATGAACACACGCACGCACGAGCCAAACAAAGAGCAAAACAAACGGAAGGTAACAACGAAAATAACTGTCTGCGCGAAGACGAACCTTTGGGTGGTCTTCCCAGGAAAATGAACTTGACTTGGTCTTACGGAGCTATGTCCACCCTGATTGAGGGGATTCCCCATTGTATGTCAATGCCACTGGTATATGACTGAGCTCCTTTCCTGAGTGGTTTAGCTAAGAACAAATGCGAACTTCTTTCACTTGCCACTAGAATGGTCTTCCCAAAAAGTAGTAAGTCTAGCAACTCAGGGAATGAGTGAAAGAAGAACGACTCCCTCCTCGTCTGCACACCGAAGGGCAATGGGAGTCCATGTGTGCGCGGGCCCCCGTTCCTTTCGCGCCCAGCCAGAACTCCGCGTTGTCGAACAAAGAGGCGCCATTGCGATCGTCCATGAACTCCTGATTGCCGTTTGCCCCCTACTGTGGATGGACAGAATCCATTTCGCACCGCTTTGAGTGGATCCCCGACGGCTTTCTGCAAGGAACCGCGCCTCTGGCATGTGAACAGTTCCTTGCTAGTGGACAGGAGGGTAGCTACGCCCCACAACCATGGACATGCAATGGCTTTTTCAGGCATTTTCAGGTCTGCGGTTTGGAGGTATGGATGCTTGTCCACTAACATACACTTCCATGGCAGTATATGCCCCTTAAGTGGTATACCTCGAAAGCCCATACCGCAAAATGCTAACTTGAGGTACTTGCTTGCCCAAGGCCGACCTTTTAACCTGTTGAGTTCCCTGAGTTGGTAAGTCCAAGAGTGTGGTTGCTGTTTTGGGCCAATCCACGAAAAGAGGAAGTGAGGAATACCGCGGGTGGACAAAATCCTGCACCGCCTAAGGAACCCTGGATTCTGATGATTCCCCTTATAAATACCAACAACAAATGGTTTCCCATGGTTCAGTCAGGTTCCATGTCTGGGAGGGCTGGGTTGGTGCCTTGGATTGGCGGTGTGGTGGTTGAGGGGCTGGTTTCCCATGTACCCTCCAGTCACCAGGCAGGCCACCAATCCAACCCGAAGGCGTACCTGAAACAAAGGCGGCTGGACGTATGCACTTCAACCGCTCTCGGGGGAGAGGGGGGGGGAAAACAGCCGTTGGGTTTTCGGGGGCCCTTTGAGAAACCTCCGTTTCCTTTTCATCTCTACTCTTGGTATGGTAGCAAACAACTTGTTTTTTGCAGACCCCCGCTAAAATGAACAGAACCACAAAACTAAAAAACCAAAAAACATGCCAAGAACAGTGAAGTTTTGGGTGTTCCAACTAAGCTGCATGGTTTCCAAAGGACACAGACTATTGTTGAAGGAACCTCCAGAATAGCCTAATGTTGATGTTGACCCCAGATGAATCAACCCCAGTTTATTAATACGATTTCATCCGGGGGTGTCAGTGGGCTTGGCAATCATGACTGCTGGAGGGGAAAACATCCACCCTATGAGAAGGATGTGTTCTGGTCAAAGCCTATTTTGAGAAGCCCCCGAAAAGGCGTCGGACAGGCCAAGCCAAGACTCGGGCACCGACTGGGTGATGAGCTCCCGCACTCGCCGCACCACCTGCGGCTGTTCGGAGCCCTTAGCCTTTGACCATGTGGATGGACGAAATCCTCTGAGGCACCTAAGAAAACCTGGAATGATTTGATTCCCCTGTGAATAACAAGAGAAACGAGAAAAAACAATGACCCAAGAAATGATAAAACCTGAGGCTTTCACCGTTTGAAGAGTCAGTGGGCAGGTCAAGAGCTTCGAGGGTGGAAGCCCAAGCCGTATGACCTAAATGGCGGCTAGGGAATCCGATGGCATTTTAAAGGGAAGCCACAAAGTGAATTTGATATTCCATTCGCTGTTTCGTGAGACCAAAACCACATTCTCATCATTTCTTCCAGTAAACTCAAATGTAGATGTCCAATTGAAAACCACCCGGGAAGCGAAAAACCATTCATTAAATGGAAGGACCCCCCCTCAAATGCCACTTCTGGAGCCCGGCCCTTTCCTTTGTGAGGCGTACCCCAGCCTTCTGCGAGCCCAGGTCGCCCTTGTAGTGCTCCCTCACCTTAGCCAGACTTCCGGGCTGCAGCTTCCGGGCCGCATCCCAAGTCCCAAGTGCCCAAGAATCATTGGGAGGCGGGGAGGCGGGTTGAACACCTTCAGTGACAAACAAACGCCAACCTCCACTTTGAGAACCAAACGTAAGGCGTGCCTGCCGCAAGGGGAGTGCAAGTTAGCACCCAGGCCAAACACACAGTGGAAACATCAAAAAAGAGGTTGTTTGTAGAATGACAAGACAAAAGAAGGCTAACGCCAGCGCACCATGTCAACAGCAAGAAGCAACAACAACTGAAAAGGCAAAAATGGGGGCCCGTGCCCCGTTCGATGCACACAAACTGCAGCCAAGCCAAGAGCAAGGCACCGACAAAACAGGAAAAGCAGGGAGGTGCACCACAAATAAATAGTCAAACACCATAACAAACCAAGAGATGAGCCGGGGGGGCCCGCGCTTCCTTCCTTTTCCACGATGCACGCGCCCATCGCACCGAAACCTGCGCCAAATTCAAACCATGGCAAACCTCTGAAATTTGGTTGTTGGCATTTACCAGGGAAATCGAACCATTCTTTCGGCTTTCTTAGGTGGTGTCTAAGCGGATTTCGCAACCATCCACAGTAAGGCCGCCTCTTCTCCTCCTCCCCCCCCCGGACCCGCCCCGCACCCTGGCACGGCGGAGGCGCCCCCCAGTAGAAGGGCGCGAAGGGCGGGGCGTTCTCGTCCTGCGCCAGGCGCTCGGAGGCGTCCTCCCCAGCGATCGTCGTCTCCGCCCAGGAGGCCGTGCCCATGGTCTGCAGGTTCCGATCCTGGCGAAGGAGGGGGGAGAGGGGGGGGGGGGGGGGAATCTGCACCACACTTCCTGAGCGAAATGACCAAGGAAGGTCCTTGAACTTTTCACTTCCCACTAAAATAATCTACATCTTCCCGATTTGCGCGGCTTCCGCGTGTGCCGTTGCCAAGGAACCTGCTGCACTTTGGGGGCTTGCCCCTGTGCGTCCAGCAGAACCAAAGAAAGACCAAACAACTACACATGAACCAAAAGCTGTGAAGAATTCCCCCCCAAAAACATCCATGAGCTCAGGAAGTGAGAGACTACTCCTGTACATGTTCACATGGAAACCAGAAAGTCGCTGGTTGCAGAGGGAAGGGCCTGTGGAGAGACCCCCTTGTTTGAGCTTCCCGCGAAATTGCAGCGGGTGATCTTGAGTACCGGGCCATTTAATTTGTTTGGGTAATAACCGAGGGCTGCAGCTAGGAACCCTACTCTAACTAATGTGATTCAGTGATGGCAGTAGGTTACAGCATGGTTTCTACTAGGTGGTTATAGGCAACTAGTCAAGAATTATATAGACGTTTGGGGGTGCACTACCGCGCATGGACCAAAACCTGGCGCCTACCCAAAACCATTGACAGGTCAAAAGGCCGGCTGTCCGCACCTGCTTATGGCACACTGTCACTAACAAGATCCACGGAAAGAGGTTGGAATGATAGGCGCGATATTGCAGTATGTGGATTTCTTGTGACGCCCAATGCATGGGTACACATGGGGCATTCATATACTGATTCAAAGACACAGCAAGGGGAGACAAAGCAGCCGAACAACGTGACTATTAGCAGCGCGCTTTTCTGGGCCATTGAGGGTCGTTAAGGGCTATGGCTCCGAATTCGTGTACTTCCGTCAGTCTCCCCCTGCTCCTAGGGATCCGACCAAGCTCCTATGAATCCAAAGCTCGGACATAAGGAATCCTGCCATAGTTAGCAGCCTGTCGCGGGAGTCTCGTCTTGCATACCCAACTCAAAAATACTGCTCGCTTCCTGAGTGGATTGGCCATTTAAAGAAGCAACCAAACTTTTGACTTACCACACAACTGGTCCAACACCAGGTGACTGAAAGCTCGAAGCGGAACTCGGGGAGTGAGACTGTGTCCAAAATCCTGGAGGAATGGATGAATCCCTGCCGGTCCAGCAGTATCACCCCCCATCCGAAAGCTCGGCTCTGTCGCTGACCGGCCCAGCCCCAAATTCCCCCCCTCCCCGCGGCACGGAAGCCCGTTTTGGCCTCTGGGTTCTTCACCCAGTCGTACCTCACGCTTTTTTGCGACGAAAGCCGAGCTCAGAGGCTCAAAGCAGCAGAAATTTGGGCATATTTCTTGGCTGGAATTAGGACCCCGGCAAAAAAATAAAACAAAGGGACCCCCGTTCTGCTGACCCCCGAAATGGCTCATGAATGCTCGGCTTGGAGCTTGTGAAGTTCCATGTGACCGTGGAACGGAATCCCAGCTCCGAACCATGGGTTGCCTAAAGGCGAAGCAGAGAAAGCAGAGCAAGGCGCGGGGGTTGGTCTTGGACCGCCTTTGGAAAGCTAAGCTCGTGGACAGAAGGGGGAAGGCAAAAGAGAAAAACAAATTCTCCGTGCGCCCTGCACGCATCTCGCAAAGTGACGTCCAAAGGCCCGGAGGAAAGTTTTAAGGGCGAACCACAAAGGTAGTGAACAAGCACAGCAAACAATATCAAGAAAGCAAGCTCAAACAAAGCAGACAAGTGGCTTCCCTCTAATTCATTGGTGAATTTGGCTTGGTGGATTGGAGGTTAGTTTCCCATTTACCCTCTACAAGGAGTTCAAATCCTCAAACCACCACTCCAAACCACCCATTTGTGGGATTCAAACAGCCTAAAACAGGAAGAACGACAAACCCAAACCACCAAACCAACGAGGGGCTTCCTGACATAAGCAGCCTTAAAACAAAAAGGAAAGGGAAGACAAACCAAACCTTCCACGTGTTTTACCATCCTTCAATAAAAGTACTACTATGTCCTCTTCAACAGCAACAGGGGAGAATCATAATAACTACCAATAAGAAACCAACAACAAAACAGGAATAGAAGAAGAAAACATACTAACTGTAACGGAAACCACAAAACAAAAGCAAAGAGAAGAAGAAGAGTCGAGCTGCTCCCTCCGCATCTTCGCCTCAGGAAACTCCTGCGCCAACTTCTCACAACTCCAGCCCTTGAGCGCTCCCGCCGAGGCGTTTTCCAGGATCAGCACCTGGACATCGTTCTGAGGTGTGTCCTTCCAGAACTTCTGGTTACTCCTAAAGGTCGCCTCTTTAAACGCAACATTTTGAGCCGCCCAGCTCCGCAACGGCACCAGCCATAGAAATCTCTTATTAGGAGTGTTCCTTTGTTGGGCCTATTTTCCCAAAACCCGCCCCCTCCAGGCGAAGATCACAAACAGCCAAGAAACCCAAACCAAACCAGGCCTCACCAACCAATAGAAACCCAAAGAATGGCTCTTCAAATACAACTTTGAAAGGACAAAATCCGCCCAGACTCGGAAGCACAAGCTTTCAAACTGATAGCCTTCCAGATACAACCTTGGAAGGAAAAGCCTCCCGGTCCTCCAAAAAAAAAAGCCGCCGAGGAGAAATAAATAAATCTGCCGGCCCCCCCGGACCCCGGCCCCCGGCCCACGGCTCGAAGCCGCGCGGGGCTCTTGCGGTTCGCGCCTTGCCGGAGCGCGCCGCTTCCCGAAAGACATCTGCGCTCACCGGCCAGCGCAGGCGCGGGGGCTCCCCCCCGGGAGCTCCTGACAAACCGGGACTCGAGCTGGTTTCAAACGCCTCTAAACGAGGAGCCGGTTCCACTCCTAAAGATTGACATGGAACCTGCAAAAACATGCTTGTTTCTTTTTCTTTTTCGGAAAACCCCTTTTTGGGTCCGGGTTGAGGATGGAGGTTCCACATCCGTGAAGCTTGGCGCAGAAATGGTTGCCAACGGTTGAAAGGTGGATTCGAATTGGTTGCAAGTTAGGGAACGGTCCTTTATGGAATCTGCATCGGTTCAAGGGAACTGTCCAGCCCTTGGTGTGGGCTTCCAAAACTCGAACCGTTTCTTCCCCGCACACCTAACTTACCCCTTAAAACTCCAAGCCCTGGGGAAGTTAATCTTTTACAGACATAGCCCATGTTACCCCCAACAAGTTGAAAAGTTGTTTTTTTTCTTCTTTTTTTTTTTTTTAAAGAGGTAAGCCTAAATAAGCAGAACAACAGAAAAAAAGAACCAAAAAGATATGGTCCACCCGCAGCGAAGGGCAACCACCGATTCCAGCTTCTGACTTTGGGCCTGACTTTGATACCCTCCACGATTCGCCTCGATTCCCAACGATTGATTCGCGTGCGAGCACAGAATGTCTCATAGTGAACCTGCATCAGTTCTTCAGTAAAGGTATCCATACATTCATATTCATGACTCCGATTTAGTCAAAGTTCAGACGGTCGAACTGGACTTCGCCAAAACAAAAAAATGACTGGTGGTTTCCCTGAACTCGCCACTTTTGAAAGTTCCTGAAAGGGACATGGCTCGGAAACCTTGTGTTTGGGCCGTTGATGAAACCAATCAAAAGTGCTTCAGTTTGCCAACTCAGGTAAGGAGTGAGGCAGGATTGGGGTTGAATATGTGTGGACTTCATCCGGCCGTGGCTCAAAAATCCGGACTTCCAAAAAGGGTTGCCCGATCGGTAAGTGGAAACATGGGCCAAAGCCTGGCGGTTTGCCCCTCCGATCGTTTCATTTTGAGCCATCTCAGGAGACCAGGTCCGAACTTCTGAGAAGCCTCTAGGCACCCATTTTCCCGGGAGCCCGAACCCCAAACACCAGCGGTTCAAATCCAGAGATCCATGCCAATCCGAACAACCCACCAAGGTAAACTGATTGAAGGGAACCAAACCCCCCCGCCCAAAACAGAAGACAACACGAACATAACACACACACACACATATATATATATATATACACATACAAAAGGACCCCACTGGCGTCCGCCTCCAAAGTAGTCGGTCTCCAGTGGCTCCGGCAGGCACTCCGCGCAGAGCTTCGGCAAGCTGCGGGCGCTCGGCTCGCCGCAGGCGAACCCAAGGCTCGCCAGGGCCAAGGACCACATGGCGCGAATGGGTCGTTGGCGCGCGAGAATCGATCGGAGGTGCAAACAAGCTGTTGGGTTCAAGCCGAAAGTGGTTGCAGTTCGTGCCATGATCAGAGTTAGGCCCAGTGATCGATTGTATATATTATTCAATTTGCTTCAGTTTGAGTCACTGGTAAAATGCAAAATGTCTCCTAAGCCTACTCCAGGTGCGTTTCTTTGTTGTTGTCCAAAAAATGCACCGCACCAACGGCGGTTGGTTTCCAACGGCTAAATTTCACAAGCCACTTGGTTCCCATATCCTTTGGAAGTTGTGCCGCTTCAGCTGCTTGCAGCCAGTGGGAACATATTTGAACGCTGACCGACTGTGGAGACCGGCCCGAAGTTTCAACTTACGAGGCTCATTTCAGGACGCTGCTCCGGCCTATGAGCCCAGCAGCTGTGCACCCCACGCATGTACCTTCCATGCTGGCAAGACACTTGCTTCAACAACCTCTTGTTTTTCTGGTTTTTCTCCCAAGCGCATTCTTTCTGTGAGAGTGCCTCTTGTTTGGCCGCTTTTGGGGATCCTCCACCCAAATCCCACCGGAAAACATTGCCTTCCGCTGGGGGAGCCCCCCTCTTTTGCCGCGCGGGACCCGCGATGTTTCTTGGGCGTCGGCATCGCCTGGCGTGGCAACGCGCAGAGCCAAAAAGTCCGAACCTTAGTTTTAACCACCAAGAGGGTCTTCCCAAAACGTGAAAGTCCAGGAACTCGGTTGGTAGTGAGAAAATCGTGGAAGCTAAAAGGAAACCAGCCGGGCCAAACATTTTGAGAAACACCCATATGGGTCTGTATGCTTTCGGGGGGGATTCGTCAATAAAAAGTGGATTTCTCCAACCCCCTTAAACTTCCGCCAAAAAAGCACTTGTTAGGAAAAGGGGTAGGCAGATCCTTTTGTGGGGTTCCCAACATGGGATCGGCCGATCCCCATCCACAATGTTCAAAATGGGCGGGGGGGGGCATATGAATCAGCCACCCCTATTTATCGGCCAAGTTGCTCACTTCCGATCGAGTGGATTGGCCAAACTAAAGTCGTGCCAAAAGGCAAAAAGCGAAACCCAGGAGGTGGGGCAAAGTCGTGCCAAAAAGCAAAAAGCGAAACCCAGGAGGTGGGGCAAAGTCGTGCCAAAAAGCAAAAAGCGAAACCCAGGAGGTGGGGCAAAGTCGTGCCAAAAAGCAAAAAGTGGAACTCAGGAGGTGGGGCAAAGTCGTGCCAAAAAGCAAAAAGTGGAACTCAGGAGGTGGGGCAAAGTCGTGCCAAAAAACAAAAAGTGGAACTCAGGAGGTGGGGCAAAGTCGTGCCAAAAAGCAAAAAGCGAAACCCAGGAGGTGGGGCAAAGTCGTGCCAAAAAGCAAAAAGCGAAACCCAGGAGGTGGGGCAAAGTCGTGCCAAAAAGCAAAAAGCGAAACCCAGGAGGTGGGGCAAAGTCGTGCCAAAAAGTAATAAGCGAAACCCAGGAGGTGGGGCAAAGTCGTGCCAAAAAGCAAAAAGTGGAACTCAGGAGGTGGGGCGAAGTCGTGCCAAAAAGCCAAAAGTGGAACTCAGGAGGTGGGGTGTCTTCATCTTGAGTTCCTTTGTGGGCAGATTCTCGCAAACCGCTCCGGCACGGTTTGGGCTTGGGTTCTCGTCTCGGAGGCCCTGTGGGTGCGTCGGCTTCCTCCGGCTTTTTGAAACCAAGCCCCTTGTTTGCAGGGTGTACCCCAGAAAACACCACCCACTTCCAGGAAAACACTGCCAACTCTGGGGTACACCCTGCTTTTTTGAGAGTCATGAAACGAAACGACCCGCGAAAAGCTTTAAAAGTGAACTGTGTGCTGGTCCAAAGGACAGAAAAAAAAAAGAAAAAAAAAAAAAAAAAAAACAAAAAAAAAAACATGCAGGTACCCTACAAGCGTACAAGGTAAGTCAAATGAGTCTGGCAATGTCAAAAAACCCAGCAAAGCTGGAAAGAAGGAAGGCATACTGTGGATGGACGAAATCCATTTCGCACCACTTTGAAGCCATGAGAGAACATTGTTTGTTGGCATTTACCAGGGAATCATCATTCCAGGCTTTCTTAGGTGGTGCAGGATTCTGTCCATCCACAGTATTTCTGAGAGGGTCCAGAAGGAGGAAGGCTACCTAGTAAGTGATTCGTGCTGGTTATAATACAGTTGCCCCTGTTATATGTCCCCTAAGTAGAGCATAGAGTTACCAACCACTGACAAAGTAGGCTACCTCCATAAGTGTGTTTGTGCCAAAAGCGGGGTACCTCAAAATCGGGGTGCCCCAAAATCGAGCTACCTTCTTTTTGGGGTGGTGTCCCTGTGGTTTCCAACCTGAAAAGGAAACCCCAAGCAGTCTTACAAGGAGACTATGCTCCAGCCAGCTCGCGCTAAACCAAAGGCTTTTGTACCAGCGCAAAAGCTCGTCCACCAAGTATGGGCGATGGCTCTAAAGATCCGGGCATGTGTCACCATAGGGGGCCCTACGAATTGTGGTCCTTTTGATTTCCCCAAAAAAACACGCACACCCGCACGCCATCTGGTCACAGCAGATCTCGCAAGGCAGGACGCGTAGACACCACCCTCATGGCAAATGCCAACGCGAGAGTCTGCCAATGCGTCGGTCTAAGCTTAAACCATCAAGACAATATCGTCGCGTCCGGCTCGAACTGATCGACGATCGGCCCAGCCAAGTCCTCAGGGTGAGGAAGAGTTTACTGACCACAACACACTTCCGGAGTGGACTGGCCAAACAAAGTCGACTGCCCAAAACCAGTCCTTACCACCAAGATGGTCGGTTCCCAAAAAGTATTTCACAGGTTAGAATCAGGGGTGCCAACTTTCTTTTCCGGTTTTGTCCATTTTAGTAAGGGAACCCTCCCCCCCAAAAAAACAAAGGTAAAAGGGCACTACTGGGGGACCTAGCGTCTGTTTTCCTCCAAGGACGTGGAACAAAAAAAATAGGTTTATTCGGGGGTATGCAGGCTGCTAGGCGGTTTTAACTGTGGCACCACTCCAAGTGGTTAAGTTAAACCCAAAAACTCAAAATGTCGACTTGCTTTGCACAAGTCAGCTTTGGGGCCTTGGCAAACAAACAACGCCTAAGATCGCCTAAGGTCTGGTCCAGTTTGCCAACTGGGAACGTTACTCGAGGAAGCTCAGGTGATGGACAAACTACCCCGCCTTGAGCAACAGGGTCTCCAAACTACTTCCCTACAACATTGAATCTAAAAGGGGTGTTCCCCCGAAAGGAGTTCCCTCTATAAATTGTGGGTGTTTGACTTCCATGTTCATCTGTAGGGTGGTACCCCGCCCCATACCCCGAAAGAACAGACACAGACAAGCCAATGCCCAAAAAGGGCGCAAAACAGAAAAAAAAACACTTCCATATCATTTGCTCAAGCCCCTAGAACAAATAAAAATACTTCCAGTGGTGATAGATTCCCTTGAAATCCAGCAAGGGAAACTAAAACATATTCTTAACTAAGTCCTCCAGAAGAGAGGGTAAAATAAGGGTACCCTTTTTTTCTGTAGTCCATTTTAGTAGGGTCCCGAACCCTCCCCCCCAAAAAGGGGCTAGAAAGGGCACCAAGCTGGTGGACCTGGCTAAGCAAATGGATGAACACGATGCTTGGCCCCTCCAGGGTGCACTTCGCCCCGTCAAAGCCCACGCTGCTGATCTCGTCCTTGCTGAAACACCAGCGGCCGAACCACGGCTGCCGCGGGCTCGCGAAGGACACCGACATGTTGAGCACCTTTGGCGGATGAAGGCTGAAGTGGTTGAAGGGGGGGGGGGCTACATGGGGCTACTGTGCCCCGGAAGGGGTTACCCTACAAGTCCAAAAGAAGATTCCTCTACCAGGATCCCCGAATGGCTGGCAAATAACCCAAAAACAGCCATTGGGAGGTCATTCCACAGACCATCTGCCAGCCATTCGGGGGTCCTGGTACACATGCTTCTGTTTGTTTCTTTCGGGGCGGCGATCCATGTGAAAAAAATCTGCAGGGGAGTACTTCCGCCATGTAATCTAGCCATCGTGCCATCAAGTTGCATGGTGCAAACGGTACAGGCAGCCATGGAAAGAAAGACGTTTTCTCGTGCGCCTGTTGTCATACCAATGCGCGGAAGTGTTGTCTGCATCAAAACAGTTGTGTGAATCTTAATGGTTGTCAAGCAGGGGTATTCCTGGCCTTCGGATGGCCATGAGAAACTTCTCCCATTTAGTGGGCGCATCATCTGTTTCCAGAATGGATTCTATAGGTAGCTTGTGCACCCATGAGAGGCGCCATAAAGATGCTCAGGAGACCGAATGCCCTGGAAATGTGTTTCTGGGTCGAAGTCCCTGAGGGGAATGTCCAAAAAAGTGTTGAGGAAAAAGTGTTCAAGAACTTTTCGTATTACAACTTAAATGGTCCCACCCCAAAAAGTCACTAAAGTCCGAAACGGAACTCAAGTGAGAAACGGTGACGCTTTTTTTTTCCGAGCCAACCAGGCCCATTTTGTGAAGCCTTAAACGAGTCCGGAGGTGACGTGAGGAAACTTGCTGGTGCGGGAATGAGAAATGGAATGTCCCTCGTAAACCATCCATCTGATTTGGTTTCAACTTTATTCGGGAATCCAAAGAAACTCCCTCATTCCCTCATGATTAGAGTTCGGCCCAGTTTTAGAATGTATATTTTATTGTTTGCTTCAATTTGAGCCACTGGCAAAATGTAAAATGTCTCCTATATAAGTCTACTCCAGCCCTCCTTCCCTGAGACTTGGACTTCTGAGAAGGTGTGGTTCACCTCCGGTCCGCTCCGAAAACCCATAGTTCACAAACAAACCCACGCCTTATAATTTAAAGTCCGTAGGCATTTTTGGTCAAACACATGGAACACCCCAAGAACCCCCCCAAAAAAGAAGAAGAAGCACTTTTTGTTGGACAAACATTCCCGCAAGAAAAAAAAAAAAACAACACACACAAGAATTACACGCAAGGAAAAACAACTTCCCGAACAACATGACACTAACAGAGCGCTCCACGTTCTGTGCTTCCATTTGGTTAATGCCCCGCCAAAAACACAAATATTTCCAGTAGTGATGAATTCCTTTCAACACCAACAAGGGAAAATAAAGAAACAAAAAGCAAATGGAGGGTGAGGAAGTGGAGTTCACCTCCGGTCCGCACCCCGCACCCTTCCAGCCAGCCTTCACGTACTCCGCGTTCTCCACGCGCAGGCCGTACGCCAGGCCTCGGGCGCGGCAGTTGCCGAAGGAGTCGCAGCCCACGTCCTCCTCGTAGCTGGGGCGGTAGTCCTGGCTTCGGATGCGGGCAGGTTGTTCCGATGTTACAAATCGTCCTCCAGGGGAGAGGTTAGAACAAGGGTACCCACTTTTGTCTGTTTTGTCTATTCAGGTTTTTCCCATTGAAAGAAATGCTTCCCAGACGCTCCTGGGGCTTCCAATGGAAGACCCAGACTCTCCGTTGGACACCCCAAAAGGGGTTTTGGGGCCTCAAAACCTGGCAGTTTGAGGGCCAAAATAACTCCGGAGCGTCTGGTTGTGTCCCATTTTTTGAAAGACAAAGGTGGGGGTTGAAAATGCAAAAATTGGGTACCATACATGGAGATCTCCAAGGGACAGTCTCTCCCCCCTCCCTCCATCAACCATATTTAAGGGACCCGGTCCGTTTTTGTATTTTTTGTTGAAACAAATGGGCGTGGCTCAAAATTAAACAGGAGGGGTTACGCAGGATTTGGCCCATGTTTCCCCTTAGCGGGTTCCATTTTGGGTACCGTTTTTTTGAGCCACAGCCAAATGGCGGGGTTGTCTTTCTGTTTGGTGAACTATGTCTAGGTCCTCCAGTTTTGAAAGGTTAGAATAAGTTGGTACCCATTTTTTCCGCTTTTGTCTATTTTAGAAGGGGAGCCCTCGCAACCAAGAAAGGGCGAGAACGGGCACTACTGGGGGACCTAGAATGGTGGGGGTTGTCTTTCTGTTGAACTATGCGGTTCCAATACCAGATTCGATTCCGTTAATAAAGCCTCAGGTGTTTTGGGTTCCTTAGACCTTTTGTAGCTTTGCAAAGGTCTCTTGAGGGGTCTGAGGGGGGAGGGAGGGGGGGGGAGAGGCCAAATATACCCTTATTAAGCCCTGAATAGAGCCTTGTTTGGGGCTCCTCCTTGGGCCTGGTCCAGCTTTACAACCCAAACCTATGGCTTGGTAAAACAAAACTGACTTCTTGGTTGCAGCCTGCCCCCCCCCCAAAAAAAAGAAGAAGAGAGATCAGGACCAAAGAGCCAGAGGAACCTCAAGACTTGCCAACAACATCCAACAACGGTGAAGGTGGGCTTCTTGTCCCGCGACTTGTAGGTTTTTGTGGGCTTCTGGGTTTCTGGTCCTTCAGGATCATTTCTCGCTTTGATGGAAAAGCAACTCTTTTCCGCAAGCTGGGCTGTGCCAAATGGAGGGTTGGCCAGCCAGATGTTCCATAGTCTCTATAGAGAAGCCAAAAGTTCGATGGCACAACCCAATCGAACTTCCTGGAAGAACTTCCCCATGTTTGGGCCCCTGTTTCCTTGGATGAGACCCCCTGGTGTTGTCAGTAGAACTCTGGGCTGGGCCAATGGGAGCGCCTAACGAAACGCCTGGTGGAAGAAGAGTCGGAAGCGCCTGGTCCTCCAGTAGAGAGGTTAGAATAAGCTGGTACCAACTTTTACTCAGTTGCCCCTGAGGGACCCAGAACTAAAAGGTGATCACCTTTTGGCACCTCTAAAAATGGGAACCCAAAATGGGAAAACCAAAAGGTCAAAAGGTCGATTCGCTTTGGACAACTGAGTTTTTGCTGTAGTCTATTTTAGGTTTTGGGCCTTTTCCCAACCCACAAAGTCGGTGAGAGGTCAGGCACCAATCGCTGGGAAACCTAGCCACACCTGGTGGTTTTTGAGAAAAAAACACCAGGTAAACCAGGAATCGCCATCGATTTTTCGACTAAAAGAGCCAAAAAGGACACCTATGGTTGGTTTGGTTTAATTTGGTTTGCTTTGGATTGGCTTGGTTGGGCTATGTTGGCTTGGCTGCGTGTGCCAAATTCCGGGGCCAATGGAAGCCATACGAAACCCCTGGTTGAAGAAGAGTTTCTCAAGCCTAGTCTTGGCCTGCGGTCCTTGCTGCCCATGCACACTTGGTGGCACGTGGTGGCATTTTCGTCCCGCAGGCAGCAGTTGGGGCCTTGGCCCTGTGAGTAGTTGCCGATGCCAGGGGTAATGTTCACCTGCCCGGAGACTGGCGACGGTGGATCAGTTTCCTTGTAGTTAGTGTTTGGTTTGGCGGGCTGGACATATTGGGGAACCAAACTCCCAAAATAGGTGTCAAAAGAAACTGCCCAAACCAATCCAACCACGAACTAAGGGCTACCTGCGTGGATGCCCTAAAATCTTGCAAGTGAGGGAACCAGGAAACCCCACTGTACGGTTGATGTTCGGCAGTTTTGTAGTTGATTATGCTTGGTGCCGATTGGCCCACAGGGGCACACAGAAATTCACATATTCACATTCAGCTTCATAACTGTCTGCCTATATCACATCCAGTCTACCCCCAAAATGCCCACCTTCCTTCTAATTGGTGGTTTGGATTGAATCAAAGGCGGTTTGGGAGTTTCCCTTTACCCCCAAGGCCGAATCCAAACCAATCCAAACTAAGGCTTACCTGCAATTCGGCCTAGTATTGGAAGACCCCACAGGGCCAGAAACCACGGGAGGGCCAGAAACGACTTCTTGGCTGGAGGTGTTGCCACAAGCTTTGCTCACGACTGGGAATCGACAGAACCCAACTTGCAGGTGAGCGCCCCGCCAAGTCACTAATCATTCATCAGAGGTCCAGATTTTGCAAACATGGACATGCAAATAGGTCCTAGTCAAAACCCGCAAACTGAGTTGAAGAAACCTATCTTCCATTTGGTTAAGTTTCCGGGGGGGGGAACAATCCAGTAATGATGAGTTCCTTTTAAACCCAACCAGGTTATTTTTTAAACAAAATAATAAGCAAATGGAGGCTATGAGGATCTAGGTACGCCGCGCCGCGCCTTCACGTTGAGGAAGGTGACGTTCCGCACTTTGGAGTTCCCGTGCCCAGAGAGCAAGCCCCCGTTTTCGCTCCGCGCCACGATGTTCTCGAACCAGAGGTCACGAAGGTCCCCGGCCTCGTGGCGAAATCCCCTTGGACCACCCCCCTTTTTTGGAACCACCCCCGTTTTTCGGGAGTCCACAAAATGAAAACAACGGGCTGGGGCCCCACCCCGAAAAATCTGGGCAGTCCTCAGATCCCCCGGGTTAAGCTAAACACTCAAAGGCTAAAATTTTAAAAAGCTCAGGAACCGGATGGCTGGGCTTGCCACCAAGAAAAACGCTTCGCCCGCCGCAAAGCCACAACAACAAAAAATCAGCGAGCCATCATAGCCTCCCCTCATCCGCCTCTCCCTCCGGCTGCGGTGGTTCCAAGCTCCGCTTGCGCGTGGTGAAGGAGAGCCACTCCCCGTTGCCCCACCACCTGGGCGCCTGGTACCGCGTCTCGATGCGGATGTCGCCTTTCTTGGCGCAAGCCCCGGGCCCGGCACCGAAGCCTGAAAAGTCTTGGGGCATACGTGTCCAATTTTAGGTTGGGAAATAGATGGGTTTCCCTGGTAGATGAGAAACAACCACCAGGTAAACCAGGGCCATCTCTTTCTCGACCAAAACAACCAACAAGGACACCTACCATCTCCCTACTCCAAATACCCGCCTTTTTTTTCAGGGTATTTTTTGATGGAAAACCTGGCTTTCCATGGTAAATACCTCCTTTCTTAGTAGAGGGTCGACATCATACCCTGAAAAAAGTGGGTATTGGGTGTAGGGGGTATGTCTTGGGGTCTTAGGTTAACGTGTGACCGTGACTCAACCTTCCGCTCGCTTAAAGTTCCTAGAAAAAAACAGTGGTCAGTAGTGATCAGTGATAGGCTCCCTTCAAAACCAACGGGGATCAACACAAAATGGTGGTCGCTGCAACGACCCCTCTGCCAAAAGACCTGTTTCAACCAACAAGTTTTACAGTCCAAAGATCCACCCAAATAAGCATAAAGAGAGATGTTGGCCCATGTTCAAACAGTTGCCTGCCCAGTGGCCCGACAGGCAAAAAAAAGCCTCAACACCCAAACCTGTCCAGCATATCCAGCCCACCCCAAGATATGAAATAGACACACACACACACACACACTCTCGCACACCTGCGCGCGCACACAGACAAACTCACACGCACCGATACGGATATATGATATAGGTATAGGCACAAACATAGACACAGAGACACAGACACACACACACACACAAACACTCACACACTGTCTCTCTCTCTCTCACACACACACACCTGCGCGCACACACACACACTCTCCCACGCGCACACGCACACGCACCGACGCTGACACAGGCACAGGCACAGAAACACACAGACACACAGACACACAGAGACACACAGAGACACACAGAGACACACAGAGACACACAGAGACACACAGAGACACACACAGACACACACAGACACACACAGACACACACAGACACACACAGACACACACAGACACACACAGACACACACAGACACACACAGACACACACAGACACACACAGACACACACAGACACACACAGACACACACAGACACACACAGACACACACAGAGACACACACACACAGAGACACACAGAGACACACAGAGACACACAGAGACACACAGAGACACACAGAGACACACAGAGACACACAGAGACACACAGACACACACACACAGAGACACACAGAGACACACAGAGACACACAGAGACACACAGAGACACACAGAGACACACAGACACACACAGACACACACAGACACACACAGACACACACAGACACACACAGACACACACAGACACACACAGACACACAGACACACAGACACACAGACACACAGACACACAGACACACAGACACACAGACACACAGACACACAGACACACAGACACACAGACACACAGACACACAGACACACAGACACACAGACACACAGACACACAGACACACAGACACACAGACACACAGACACACAGACACACAGACACACAGACACACAGACACACAGACACACAGACACACAGACACACAGACACACAGACACACAGACACACAGACACACAGACACACAGACACACAGACACACAGACACACAGACACACAGACACACAGACACACAGACACACAGACACACAGACACACAGACACACAGACACACAGACACACAGACACACAGACACACAGACACACAGACACACAGACACACAGACACACAGACACACAGACACACAGACACACAGACACACAGACACACAAACACACAGACACACAGACACACAGACACACACACACACACACACAACTCCGCGTTGCGGCCAGGTCACGCCAGGTGAGGTTGTAGACCTTGCCCGCGCCACGCTGCTGCACCGAGATCCCCGAGTTCGAGTCCCAAATGGTGATGTTCTCGAAGACAGAGCTGTGGCAGTCCGCGTCGCAGGTGCTGCCGAACTTGATCTGAGCCGGGGGGGAATCAACAGGCTTCCCTCTGAGCTAGTTCCCCTCCAAAACGGCACCTGTACCCAAAAAGAAGAGACTCACTTGATTTCAAAATGGGTGATGGGAACCAACCAGAGTCACCGGCTTTCCCTATACCTCAAACATCGCCTACCAAGGGGAAACTCACCTGAAATGGGCCAAAAACATCCAAAACCCTGAGAATGGGAGCGAATCTTGTGGGAGCGGTTCCTAAAGGGAATCTCCTACGCTGATTCAGAGCCCACACGAGCGACTAAAATATCGACTCGTGAAGATCCCAAATTCATAAACGCCTGGTTGATATTGAGGAAGGTGTCCCCGCCTAGTGGGGATTCATTCAGACCACTTTTGGGGCAATGCCCCAGGAATGAGGATAGGTTCTGCATAGAGGGTTTGGATTGGTTTGGAAGGAGGGGATTCAAATGCGGATTCAAATGCCAAACCAATCCAAACCACCAACTAAGGGTACCTGATTAAAGATGGCGACACCAGGCCATGGATAACAAGGCCACGACCTTACCATACCTCCCTTTGCGAGGCTCTGAATTAATTGGCAACGGAACGTCGAAGCACACCGTGCCTGTGTATCTTTGAAGATGCACCAGTATATCCATCCATGCATCCATGCATCCGTGCATCTATGCAGCCATGCATCCATGGATCCATGCATCCATGCTGCCATGCAGCCAGGCATCCATTGATCCACGCATCCATGCATCCATGCAGCCAGGCATCCATGGATCCATGGATCCATGCATCCCTCCGTCCGTCCGTTAAATATTTGTGCAGAGCACAAACGTGTCGATAGGGCTTGGCCCCACTCCGCGTTACACAAAGCAGTTCTTTGTCAGTTTCTGCTAATTCCGGGTCTCTCCCCATCCGATCAAAAAGCAACCAGTACAGTTCTCCCCCCACCTATGAGCACGACACAGTTCTCTCCCCACCCTCCAAAAAAGCAAGCAATACACAGTTGTGGGAGCAATCCAGAGGTCCCCATGTAACGGATTTGCTGATCCACTCTTTCTAGGGGCCCTCAAAAATGCCGGGTTTCCTGAATTTTTCTTCCTGAATGTCGTTTCCCCTTTCAAGGACCCTCCAACCACGGGCAGCCTCAAAAAGCACCAGGCGTGATCGTCCCAGCCACGGCGTGGCTCTTGGAGCGGATCGTCGTGTTGCGCACGACCAGCTCCTACCGCGGATTTTTGAGCCGGAAGAAAAAGAAAAAAAAAGCCCTCCAGCCCGCGGGACCCTTTGGCCGGATTTTTTTTTGGGGCCACGGCCATGCCCTCTTCATCTCTTCAAGATCTTGAGGCTTAAACAGGGGTTGCGTTTCACCTCGAAAAAGACGCTCCCAGCTCACAGTTAGCCAGCTCCCAGCTCGCCCAGCTCACTCCGAACTCCGAACGAGCGAGCCGCTTTTGGGCCGCTTTTGGGGTCTTGGGCCGAAGTGGCCGGGGCCCAAGGCCCAAGGCCCACTTGGGTTTGTCAGGTGAGCAAAAATTAAATTTTAGCAGCTAAGTAGGGATTTCCCACCAAACCACAATAAGCAAAAATGTAAAATGTTTCTCAACAACAACCATGTGGGCGTCCCTTTAGGTTACACTGAGTGGTCAGAAAAAGCACGAGAAAGTGACCTGGAGTCTCCTTCTGACCCTTCACAAATGGTTGGTCAAGACCCGAATCTTTTTTTTTGGCTCCAGGTAGTTAGTATACCTGGACCCTCAAACTACCCGTCTATTCTGAGAAAAACCCTGACAGTCATTTCTGTGATAATGTGGACCACCCGTCTGACGCTTTTCTCTTGGTGCCAAGTACTCTTTTGGAGTCATAGAAAATGGCCCTAGAACCAAACTAATCATGGGCTCTCATCAATTGGAATTCAAAAAACTTGGCCTACCCTAGTTAAATATGACTATCCTTTTTTCCACCATGGAAAGTCGGGACAGATGTGAAATGTCCCAGGGAACCTCTGGCAAATCCTTTGCATTCGGTTGTTCTGGTCTTGCGGTGGGTTGTCTAACACTGTGGTGATTTGTTTTGATGAGGCTATCCTTGTGTGGTCGTTTTGGGGCCGGCCACGATAACAACACACTTTTGTTGGTCTTTCCTCGTTTTCTTTTTGGGGGGGGAGAGGGGAGGTCCTGCAATTAATTGGAGACAAAGCCATATCATGACCCACCGGGCAGGATCGGTCCAATATACCGGGCTGTTGAACAAAGAGAGGAAGCCCCAATCCTAATCTGGTGGTGAGATACCACTACATTTCTGTTGCTTTCTGCTCCCCTGCTAAAAGTTTAACTTTTAGTGGTTTGATGGAAAACCCAATTAGTTGGCAAAAAGTTAAAGTCCTAACCTCCAAGCAAAATGCAAGAGAGACAACAAGGGAAGCCACCATCCGGCATAAGGATTCAGGATCAATGTTGAACAACTCAGACAGGCCCATGTGATCGCATCGCAGGCCTCTCCAGGACACTCAGCTTCAGCTGGCAAGACTCTTGATACCAAACTGCACAATTCAAATCATAAACGGTGGAGATACCACGGTGCAATATTCAATAAACACATCCACACCTTAGATATAACATACAATACCACATTGTAAACAAAAAACAATTTGTCTGCAAACATCAAACTGCTTAGTCCTCCTGTAGAGAGGTTCGAATAAGGCTACCCTTTTTTTGTAGACCACAAAAAAACGGTAGAGAAGGGCACCTAGCTGGGGGACCTAGGAACTCCTTTCATTCACGTGGTGTGCATCTGGTTTCCTTCCGTTTCAGAGGATTTCCTTCAACTCGCCGCCCTCCACCGTGCTGATGGGGCTAATGCCATCATCTGCCACATCGATGTAGGAGTTGAGGATGGACACGCGCACCTAAAGCATAGCCGGGGTGTTAAATACCGAGACGCGAGACGGGGTCTCACCCTCCCAAGACGGGGTCGTAGACAAGTTGGTTCAAACTTGTAACACACTGGTGAGATTCATGTCGGCGGATGGAAGGGTAACCAGCTTCCCTATTGTAGTTGTTGCCCTCCAGAAGCAGGGCTTTAAACCCCCACTCAGTTGTTCAGTGACCGTGGAGAGAAAAAAAAGGGAACCATTTTAGGGGAAGACCATATTTAGTGAGCAGCCACCCAACAGGGAAAAAGGGTGCCACTGAACAACTGAGCCCACTAATCCAAACCACCAATTGAGGGCTAGGGGGCCCTCAAAAACCACCAACCTGCTTTCCAGCACCTAGGGCGAAGGAAGGCAACGGGAACCTCAGCATCAATAAAACCCCTAGTTGATATTCCTCGGATCCCATTTCAGATAGAACCCCCTCGTTCTTTGGCAAGACACCACGGATGTCAACCACGGAAATCTCCTTTTTGCGGGTGCCTGTAGGAAAGGGTGGATTCAATTTAGCCATGGTCACATGACCGTTACTCAACCATGGCTTCAAGGGGTAGCAAGTGGCAAAAGGCAAGCCAGGCATCATAACCATGGCTAGAGCATGGTTTTGCGGGAGAACATGGCAAAAGGCCCAGCGACCGACTGACTTGTCACTGCGGCTGCTGAAATTTAAGGCCCATTCTCGGACAGGCTGATGGGGGGGGGGGGTAGACACGATAAGCCCAGTTCTGTTGCCACGGCTAGTCCTTTTGCCATACCCATTTTTGGGTGGGCAAGATTTCACAGCTCCGGAAGCCATAATCTAATTCCAGGATCCCAACACCCCCAGGTGAGCTCGCTAAAAAATAGGCAGATCGTTTCCACAAGTACTGGTCGAAATGATTCGGTTGCACCACCCCCCTGTTGCTTCTAGTTCTTCTCCAAAAAAAAGAGTGAGTTGCGAGCCAGACCCTGGCACTGTTTCACTCAAACATCCCCACCTCGAACTCATCCTCTGGTTTTTTCCTCTATGACCACTGTACCGAACAAGGCAAACCTTGGGCGCATCCATCACCTGGACCGCACCCGATCCCCCGAATCGCTCGGATCTCTCCGGGCCGATCTCGATCCGTTCCGAGGTGCTGAGGAGTCCGGCTCAATCCCATCGTTGTTGGGGTAGAGCTGGGACCCAATCACCTTCACGCCGTCCAGCGTGACATCCTGGCGATCCATACCCCCAACCCCCAAACTCTCTGCGTCTGTCTCACTTCCAACGGGTTTTTTTGCCGAAGAAGAAGCCCAAACTTCTTTTCGAGGTGCTCTAGTAGAGAGCTTAGAGTAGGCGTACCGGCGTACCAACCTCTTTCTTTTTCTGTAGTCAATTTTAGTAGGAGAACCCTCCCCCAAAACAGGGGTGAGAAAGTTGGCACCTGGCTGGGGGACCTACTCATTTACCACTCAAATGGTCTTCCCAACAAGTGGTAAAGTCCGTCAACGCAGCAAGTGAGCTGTCCAAAACCCTAACCCCCTCCCCCCCCAAAAAAAACCTCCCCCAAAAAAATATGCTGGCTTGCCTAGACTGAGAACAGTTGAACACCCCTTACTAATGCGGCACGTTGACCAGTTGGGGGTCGACATGAAGGCCTAAATAAGGACGCAAGTCACAACTTGATTTTTGGGAAGCAGGAAGGGCTGGAGGGAAAAGGCACTTCAACCCAACGCACCCCACCAGGGAACTCGCACATCAGATTGGGCTTTCCAAATCTTACTCGCCCAAAGGACCTGGACCAAAGTTGGAAAACCAAAAGCAGTTCCGGTCGATTCGCGTTCGACTGAGTGTTTCAAGTTGCACCTTTCTTCTCGAAAGATAGGGCCGGAGCCGAGTTTCCACAGTACTGGGAGAAGAAAAACAACAACAGGAAGTTGAAAAACCTGGGCCTATTGAAGCGACTCCCTCCTTTGGGGGCTGGGTTCCCCTACTGAAATAGACTACAGAAAAAAGGGTACCCTTATTCTAACCTCTCTACTGGAGGACCTAGCAGCAGTTTTATTTTGATTGGGGTTCTCAGCAATTGTCAAATTTGGAGGGATATTTGGGTAAAAGGGCACTACTGGGGGACCTAGTTGTTAAGAGCCCCTCAACATAAAACTGCTGCAGGTGGCTTGGCAAGAATGCCACGGGCGAGAACCTAAAACACCCGCCTGGGAGTTTTGGATGTGGATGTTCCAGAAGGTGGCGTTCCGGAAGGTGAGGCCGCTCACACGCACGTCCTCCGCTCGGAAATGTCCGGTCAAGAAAAACACACATCGCTTGAGTCGCGAGGGCCGCACCTGGTTATTTCTATGTGCGCGTCTGTTTTTGTCTCAGTTGCCCAAGGGACCCAGAAATACAAGGTTAACCTTTTGGGGCCATGACTAAAAATGGACCAAAAAGGGGAAACCAAAAGGTCAAAAGGTTGGCTTTGGGCAAGTGAGTTGTTGTTTTTTAGGGGACACCTAAACTTTGGTTGTCCTCTAAAACTGTTTAAAAAGATTGGGCACCCTGAAAAGGACGAGCCAACCAAATGGCTTTCCACTTCCCTGGGGAAGCATCTGAGTTGCTAAGATGCTTGTTGCTCCCGGGTCGCTATGGTTGTGGAGATGCCGGTCCTTACGTGTTGCCGCTAAGTGGGAATAAGACGATTTGCAAGCAGGTAAAAATATAAAGATGCAAGAGAATCGCAGCCAAAATAGGTTTGGAAACTCAACAGCAAGGCTTCTACCACACCACCCCCAGAGCTTATGTGGGCAAAGGTCCCGTAGCTTCCAGCTGCTGGGGAACAAAACACTTAAATGGAACAGTAAAGCGTTGCCACTACCTGGCGTTTCTCCAACCGCCAAAATAGCATTCGGCCCCCTAACATGGCTAGTGGGTTTCCGGTTGTGACCTCCCTTTTAATACCAACCAAAAGGTTTAGTCCGATTCCCATTTTGAGACACTCCCGAATTCCATTTGCTTCAGCCCGCAAGAATATGTGCACTTGGTTGCTGTTGACTAAAAAGTTAGAGTCCAAAGATCCGTTACCAAGTAGCCATAAAGCTCCCCTTGTTAAACCACCAGGGCAAGTGGAAGCAACTGCCAACCAGGCCCCACTATGCCTCCGGGGTGCTTGTACATACCCCTTTCACATACCCTGGTGCCTTGGCCCCGCTGAGGTACAGCAGGTGGGATCGGGCGCCCTTGGGCTCGACCCGGTTGTAGATGGGCCTCGGCCCACGCGTCCCCCTCAGCTTCTTAGGTTTTTGGGCTTGGTGGGGGTTTGCATTTGACCTAAGAGTTGAACACTTCTAGCGGAGGATGTGAGGACAGCCCAGATTCCTTCCAGAAGGAACTCTGGCCCTGGAAGCCTTGGCTCCTTCAGAACCAACCGCCGCAAACCTCGTAGGCTCCAGTGGAACCAAAGACTTCCAGTTCGGGGCTCCCTATATTTCCCCTTAAAACGGGACACTCACCATTCATGGTTGCCAAAAAGGTGATGTTTAAAACCGCAAAAAAAAGGGAAATATAGGGACCCCTGTTCCATTTCGGGGTCCTGGTTTCTTGCCACCTGCACCCTTCTTCGGACCAGAGGAAAAACCACACGGTCCCAAGGTCGGCCTGAGCGGTGGCATTGGTCGAGCGGCGAGTAGGAGGACCAGCAGTGCTCCGCATTGCCGTGCACCTCCCCTCTCCCGAGCAGCTCCAGGTTGCCTCCGCTGAGAAAAACATCCCGAGATGTGAATATGTCTTGCAACAGCCCCCCTTAAAGGCCTTAAAGGGGAGGGGGAGTGCGGGCAACGTCGACCACTTCCAATGATCAGTTGGAAAATGGATTGAAACAAATGGAATACCCCACCTTGAGGAAAAGTCCACCAGTTCCATTAAATCTAGTCATCTTGTCATAGCGAAATTGGCCAAAACTGAAATAGAAAAAACCGCCGTGCCCAGCGGCTCACATTCTCCCCGTGGATGAGCGCTTTGCCAGTGACGTTCACCCCTGCCAGCAGCCGCGCGCCGGCCGAAATCTCGAACCGCAAATCCTCGCTCGGCTCTGCGGCGGCTCGGATAAGGGACATGTTCAGATACAGGGGCTTGGAAGTATGGAGGCTGTCTACCGCTTATGTAAGTGGCACATCTTGCGCGTCCTATGCCTCCAAAGCCCAAACCCGGACATAGCCTTGATTGCACATTCAACACACTTGGCAAGTGGGTTAGAACCATGGTTCCAGCTGGGGCTGAGGTTAGTGCCCTCATAGTCATGAACTTACGAAGTAGCTGAACGGGTGGGCTTGTCCCGATTTAGTTCCGAAGTAGCTGAAGGGGTGGGCTTGGTCTCTCCTGGTTTCCCTATATAGTTGGACCGAAGTAGCTGAAGGTCTCTCCTGGTTTCCCTATTTAGTTGGGCCGCCGGTTGTTGAACTCAGATGCCCAGAAGGACCTGGAAGAGCAAGTGATCACCTTTTGGCGCCATGACGAAAAGTGGCTTCCAAGATTGGAAGACCAACAGGTCACATCCGGTCGATTCGCTTTGGGCAAGTGAGTGAAACAAGCAACGCGCTGCCGCTGGATTGGTGGCTCTCTGGTTGAGGAGGGGTTTCTCAAAACCGGCCTCAACTCCGAATCCCGTTCCCACCGGGCTCTCAAACCACCTTGGCTGGAATTAGGACCCCGGCAAAAACCAATGTCTAGGGAGCTGATTCTGGGAAAGGAAGCTCGGTCCTCCAGTAGAGAGGTTAGAGTAAGGGTACCGACTTTTTTTCTGCAGTCTATTTCAGTAGGGGAGCCCTCCCAACCAAAAAAGGGGCGAGAAAGTTGGCACCTAGCTGGGGGACCTATTGCGGATGGACGCAATCCTGCACCATCTAAGAAGCCCTGCAATGATGGTTCCCCTGTAAATACCGACGAACCCTGGTGTTCCGTGGTTTCAAAGTGGTGCAAAGTGGATTTCGTCCATCGTAGGAAATCTTCGATGCCAATTCCGCTGAGCATCGGAGCGCAGGTACAGGTCCGAGGTGACAAAGTCCCCGCCCGAGATGCAGACCGCCCGCGGCTTTGGCTGCGAGGCGGCCGCGTCGATGGCGGCTTGGATCGCCTGGGTGTTCCGCCTCAGATGCTGCAAACTCTGCCCTGGGCTGTTCGTTTTCAGACCCCCTGCTAAAAATGAATAAATTTAGTGGGGTAAATGGAAATCCAACCACGCACTAAGCAACAAAAAACTAAGAAACCGGATGAATGGGAGCCACCAAGATTCCCTGACCGACCCCCCTCTTACCCCGAAACGACCCCGAGCTTCAGGCCGTACTTGACCAAAAGGCGGCGTTGAGGTTGAATTTGACAATTGATTCCACAACCTGAAGCGAGCACTTGATTCAAGTGAGCTTCAAGGGAGTTCGCTGAACCAAGTGAGCTGGCCATGGGCATATAGATGTGGGAAATCAAATACCCCTGAAACCCGCCCAACACCCCCAAGCACACCTCCAGTTTTGGTGAACTTCTCCCTGAACCAAAACAAAGTGCCTTTGAAGCCAACCATCCTTGCTCTTGCTGCCAACGGAATCGCTTGTTTTTGTCTCTCTTTGAGTGTTTCGACGTGCAGAACGATTCCACTTGAGAGGCTTGAAGTCTGAACCTTGCTGTCGCTCACTAACAATCGAGGCTGGGAAACCCTAATTGAACCACAATCTGGATTGTTTGTTCACATGTTTTCTAGACTAATTTGAGATCTCTGTGATGTGACGAACCAAACAGTCCAGACTCAGGCTAGTCTTGGTGGCACAAGCTGATCTCGCGACGTGTACTTTCTGGCTTGCGCTTAGTTTGGTTTCCAAGCTGCTCAGTTTAAGGGCCAACTTGCGATTGCACCAAACGGATATACCAACCAAAATCCGTGGTTATACCATGAGTTTTACAGGGTTACCCAAAAACATGTCCCTATATAAGGCCTATAGAGGTGGGGTACGTGCATTTTGGGGTTTGTAAGTTGGCCCTTAGAGTTTGGTTGAACTCTTATGCCAGCCAAGTCCAATCATTGTCCAACGGGGTCGCCTAGGTTTTCGCACCTCGCACCTCCTCAACTCCAAAACTTTTACTGAAAAAGTAACGGGGAACCAAAACCTATTCCAAACCAACCCCAAACCCGCTCTGAACATCTGTACTTAGATGTTCGGCCAACTCAGTAAGTGGTTGGTCACTTGGGTCCTGTGCCACTAACCGGGTTAGCGGCTAACTCCACTGAATGGGTGGTTTGTAAGTAGGTTGTAGCCAGGGTTACCTGAGGCAAACAACCTGAAACAGGGAGACAAAAACAAACCAAGCAGAGAATCCAAATTCAAACCAGCCCAAACCACCAAACCAATGAGGGGTATCCTGAGACAAACCGCCTAGAAAAGGGAAAACAAAAAGCCAACCGAACAAAATCCCCCCAAAACCGAAATTACCCCCCTCAAAGTAAAGGGCACCGAACCCCCTTTCCCACACCCCCCCCCAAAAAAAAAAAAAAAAACAAAAAAAACAAAAAACAAAACTAGACCACGGTTGGCCCGAAAGCATAACATCGCAAGCGAGGTCGGCCCAACGCTGCAGGATGCGTTCTTTTTCCCTCCATGAAGTATTTGTGAAGCAAGCGCGAGACAGCACCAGGCAAGGTGCTCTGCGCAAACTGGTCGGTGCAAGTTGGTCTGCGCAAGTTGCTCTACGCAAGTTGCACTGTGCAAGTTGCTCTGCGCAAGTTGCTCCGCGCAAGTTGCTCCGGCAAGTTGGTCCCTGCAAGTGGCTCCCTGCAAGTTGCTCTGTGCAAATTGCGATCCCTGCAAGTTGCTCCGTGCAAGCTGCTCTGTGCAAGTTGCTCTGCGCAAGTTGCTCTGCGTAAGTTGCTCTGCGCGGGTTGCTCTGGGCAAGGCGCTCTGCGCAAACTGGTCGGTGCAAGTTGGTCTGCGCAAGTTGCTCTGTGCAACTTGCTCTGCGCAAGTTGCTCTGCGCAAGTTGCTTTAAAATGCAAGTTGCATCTTGTGACGCCCGCCCGCGGACCAGGGAGGAATCGAACCCGCGACCCGCCGGTTCCGGGAGCAGGCGCGCGAACCACGAGACAACTCCCAAGGACCAGTTCGAACAACAAAAGTCGCAAAAAACCTCGTGTTTTTGCACCTCGACCACGCCGATTCCCGCAGAGGGTTGCGCGAGCACCGCAAAAATCGCAAAACACCTCGAGTTTTTGCACCTCGGCCACGCCCATCCCCGCAGAGGGTTGCGCGGGCACCGCAGAAATCGCAAAAAACAACGGGTTTTTGCACCTCGACCACGCCGATCCCCGCAGAGGGTCGCCGCAGAAATCGCAAAAAACAAACATGGGTTTTTGCACCTCGACCACGCCGATTCCCGCAGAGGGTCGATTTTCGTGCAGTGTCGTCGGCACTACCCCGCCGCCCTAAGAAGAGATTTTAACTCCTCGCAAGTCAATTGCACTTGACTCCTTGCACTTGCAACTTGCACTTGACTCCTTGCACTTTGCAATGACTCCTTGCAATGACTCCTTGCAATGACTCTTTGCAATGACTCCTTGCAACGACTCCTTGCAATGACTCCTTGCAATGACTCCTTGCAATGACTCCTTGCAATGACTCCTTGCAATGACTCCTTGCAATGACTCCTTGCAATGACTCCTTGCAATGACTCCTTGCAATGACTCCTTGCAATGACTCCTTGCAATGACTCCTTGCATTGACTTTCATGATGATGATTCCTTGCAATGACACCTTGTAATGACTCTCATGAGAACAACTCACGTGAACCCAGCGGAACCCTTCGCCATGCTTTCGGGAAAAACAAAAGAACAACGGCAAAAAAAAAAAAGAGAGAGCACCTCCCCACCCGAAACCGCCCAACAACAAAAAACACACACCCCTCCCCCAACGCTTTTTTGCATCTCCCCGCCGAGCTTCTCCCAGTTCGGCCCCGCCGAACTGCCCGGATCCCCCGGCACCGCGCCGAAGTTTCGGGGGTCCAGGCACTCCACCGCCGCCGCCGCTCCCAGCGGAAGCGCCAACGCCAGCGCCGAGAGCATCGCGGGATCCGGGGGATCCGCGGGATCCGGACCCCAAGTATCCCCAAGTGCGAGAAACCAGAGACAAGAAAGCCTGGAAAGACGCAAACAAGTCAACAAAGCTGAACTGACAAAAATATACACAAACTATTGATTCAATAAAAAGAAGAAGGAGGAGGAGGAAGAAGAGGGGATCCGTTGACAACCTGACTTGGAACTTCATCATGGGCGCACCGCTGCATGATCATGATTGAACAAATGTGCGAATTGGGTAAACCCGGGGGAGGGGGGGTACTTCAGGAATGCCTGCAGGGCACTCATGTCTGAAGGCTGGTATTTGCCCTGTCGGCTTTCAAAGCTCATGATTCTTGAAGGCCCGCTCTCACTGCTGCAAAAAGATGCCGCCGGATAAAACGGCACAGGCAAACAAAGAGGTTCTCAAGTTTGCCTACCCAAAAGGTAAATCACAAATCATGCCCCATGAGCCCACAGAGAAACTCTTCCCCCCAAAGACCCCATGAGAAAACGCGGCATACAACCACCCGACTCAAGACGTATATCTATATATATATATATATGATGAAATTGTATGAAATGTATACACATACCCAGAGGCTGTATCCCCATGTTGCCTTTGCCCCCGTTTTCTTCGGTCCCCTTTTGAGGCTGCAAACATCCAAGCGTGTTTGCGTCCCATATCAGAGTGCCACGTGATCCTGAACTCACTTCCTGAGTGGACTGGCCATATTGGCCCAAAACCAGGCTGAACCCTCTACCACTGCGATTGCCTTCCCAAAAAGTAGATGCCGAAGAAAGTGAGTTGACAGCTGGTGGCTTGAACCCTGGAGGCTCCTAGCAAAACCAAGCCCCTCCCCTCCACCCCCCTCACCTCTTGCAACTCCATGATCTCAGAAGCAACCAAACATGTAAACATCTAACCAACAGTACAGGGAGGCATGAACAATTGCAGTCACTAACATTCCCATTTGCCTGAGCCAACCTACTTACCTTATCTTCCTACCTCACCGTATCTAGCTTACCTTGCTCACTTGCCCGCATTGCTCGTTCGTCCAAATCCAAATCCCTGGCTTGAAGCAAACGGGCAATAACCTGGGTCACGCATCCTAAGCCTGGCATGAGTCCTTCATCCCTAGAAGGCAAACAGTACAAAAGGGACCCCTTCCACAACCTAAGCTTCCATTTGGTTAAGGCCCCAGCAAAAAAAAATCCTGTTGCGGTGAATTCCTTTTAAAACCAACAAGGGAAAATTAAAAAAAAAAAACATATTCTTAAGCAAATGGAGGTAAGAGAAGGACCAAGGATTGCCTTAGGGGAGCAAAGATGCAAGATGTTACCACACCCTGGACCCAAAAGACCTGTTGAATAGGGGCTGTGGAACAGGTTGAACATGGCCCATCTCCTGGCTTCCTTTTGTGACATCAGGGCCGATTTGACTTGAGTGGATTGGCCAAACAAAGTTTGGACTCAGGGAGTTGGGAGCTGAACACTGAGCCAACCCAGCCCCCGCCGAGCCGAAGGGCCGAGCCTTCGCCCAACTGCAATCGGGGCCCTTCGATGGGATCCACCTCCAGCCCCCGCCCAAGACAAGGGGCCCGTTTTTTTAACGTGGGGTGGGGTGGATGGGGTGGGGTGGGTGGGTGGGGCTGGTTGCAAAGTCCACTTAGGCACCACCTAAGAAACCCTGGATTGTTCCTGGCAAATGCCAACGAACGCAAGGGTTCCAAACGTGGTCACAGTGGTGCGCCATGGCTTTCGCGTCCATCCAGCACCTCCCCCACCCCCCGGGTTTCTCTTCAAACCTGCCTCAAGACCTTTGCACGGGGCTACGGGACCTGGATCCTATGGACTTGGATCCAGTTCGCACCACCGAATTGGAAATCTCTGGTTTCTGAGGGTTCCCCTGCAAATGCCAATGAACAATGGGTTTTGCCCTGGTGTTGAAGGTGGTGCGAAATGGATTTCGTGCGCCCGCAGTATGGGGCCGCGTTCCGCCTTCGCGCCTGTCGCCTTCAAGCCCAACTCGCTTGCTTCTTGGGGACCTGGACATGAAAAGGTGATCCATCACCTTTCGGGGTCTTTACCAGAAATGAGCGGACGAGGGAACACCAAATGGACAGATCCAGTCGGATCTCTCTTCTGGGCAAAAGATGCCCATGGAATTCTGCAACATCCGGGAGCAGGGGTTGATCTGCTGGTCTTTCTGGTGAGTCTGTGAGCTGGCGACTGGCCAAGGAAAGTTCCACAAAAAAAAACCAAGGTCCGACTTGAACACTCCAAATTGCCCATGTGCTAAAAAAAACAAAACACTAATTCCCATATTGCCTGATGCCGGGCTTGCCTCAGGCGACCAGACTGGAAACCACTGAGAGGAACCAACATCGAGGACACCCAAAAAGGGACCCCACAAAAGCAAAAACACACAAAGGGGAGCTAATTCTGGGGAAGTGTTGGGATGGGTTTTAAGGGGAAACCAGGACGCCATTTTTCCCTTCGGGTGGTTGCTTCTGTTTTCGTTTCTTGCAAAAACACACCGGGCCCAACTGAAGGGATCACCGAAATGCCTGGCGGAGAAGATCCCCGATTCTGAGCAGCATCTGCGTGGTTTAACCACCTACCAGTTTTTTAAGGAACAAAAAGAGAGAGAGGGAGAGAGAGCGAAAAGAGCTTCTGGGGGCCCCGGTTCACTTTGAGAAACACTTGGGTCTGCGCCTTTTTATGAAGACCCCTCCAAAATGGATGTGCTCCCCGTTGGTTTCCCTTTAAACCACCAAACAAAATGTACCTAGAGTCTCCACGACCCTTACAAAATGGAGTCATCACCCCAGATTCTGGGTCCTGGACCTATTTTTGATTCTGGTCAGAAGGAGACTCCAGGTGAGGTTTTCGAGCTTTTTCTGACCACTCAGTCTAACCTGAAGGGACGCACCCAACCTGACCAAGCCCCAGCTGAGGGGATTTCGCGCCGGCCACTCATCGCTGGGAGCTGGCTGGCTGTGAGCCCAGCGGCGGAAAAACCGCCCCAGCGGCGCTTTTGGCAACATCTGACCGGTCCGTTTTCAGCGGGTTCGACGGAAACCCCATTTCACCCTGAAGATCTTGCAAAGGATGGCTGGGAACCAGCAAGATCTTTGCGGGTTGTTCTCCATGGCCCAAACCCAAAAAGCGACCCTCAGGGCCACCAACACCATGGAACCTACCAGAGGCTCGGTCCCCTTTTAAAGGAGACTCGTCCAATCCAGGACCCCGCAGTCAGGTTCCATGGCAACGTGGACGGGAGCTTGTCTCCAGAAACTCAAGTTGAGTGAGAATCTCGCCTTTGCATTTCTGAATCAATTGGCTTTTTCCCGGATTTCCCACCCACCAAAACCAAAACCCGTTGCGGCCGCTCGTGCCGCAGTTGAACGGTACTTCGGCCCTTCGAAAGCGGCAAAAAAGGACACCCTTCGCCAAGAGTCGACCAAAAAACGCACGGCGAATTGGCGATTCAAAGGCTCGGCCCAACAGATTGTGCCCTCCATGAGCCCAAGAAATTCGGCCGCCTGAACTGGCGCGGCCGGAGCCCCAAATAAAAATCGATCTCCAACCTCACAACGTCAACATGGTAAGATAATTCGAAGAAAAAAAGAAAGATGGATTCTCTTTAAAACCAACAAGGGAAAATGGAACATGTTCTTACGCACATGGAAGCAACCATGCCCTGCGTTCGCTGGTTTTGCTGCCTCGGCGAGATGATTTCCAGCTTCACTGCGCAGAGCGCGCATATGGGTGGAAGAAGAAGCCACAACTATGAGTGTTGGATAGCGCGTGCCGGATATTTCCCATTTGAACAAAGAAAAAATGATTATCGCTAAGCCATGCAAACACCATCCATCTGCAATTTTTGCAATATTTCAAAACCTGAAGTAAGGGATCCCCAGGCAATGTTGGAACTTGATTCATGTTGGTACTTGGCGGAGGCCGTGTACAAATCAAGTACCAACATGCAAGGATCTTTACCGTGGCCTTTGATGGGACTCGGGCAAGGCTTGCTACCCAGCGCACGCTCCAAACTCGGCAAACCTTCAAGGAGCGAATGCCGGCGTTCATTAACAGTCCGCCGAGAGGCAGCGTTGGGAGTTTTGCTTTTACCCCGCCTGTCGAAATAAACAAAAAGCATGCCCGGCAATGCCCCCCAACCAAAAAAACAAAACACATGAGCAAACGACTGCTACAGCAGGGCAATTGCATAAGAACAGAATGCATGTACAACGTGGTCAGGCTCCGTTTGGGAAGCCCCTGGATACATCCGTTGACGCTTGCCATTGGTCGGAACACTCCGAAGCCAACTGACAGGCCTCCGGCCGACGGTGGTGCCGGTCAGCGCTGCTCATGGATGGTAAAGCACTGGGTCTGGAAAACAGCAGTTGCTGCTCCCACCAAGGTCCAGGGGGGTGGCATAGCGGCAACATCGGATAAATACCCCCCCCATGCCAAAGACACAACAAACAAACCCTGATTCTGGTGCATACTTAGTTCACTTGAAAAAGCCGTTAAAAAAACGGCGACGCTTCCAGTTACCGCCCATGCAAGGCCTATGTCTCTCACAGGAAGTGGCCGACAGAGACTTTCTGGGGCCGATGTAAGGTCCACAGCAGCGACCTCGGGACAACGAGCCATTCTGTGAATGCCATCGAGAAATGAAATAACGATTGTGCGCAAATATGCGTATATTAAAAACTTATATACATATATATATATATATATATAGAGATACGGAACGGGATGCATGTATGTATACATATATCTATACATCTACATATATATATATATATACACATGTGTGTGTGTGTGTGCGTGCCTCTGGACGTATAAATCAACATGTGCACATGCTTCATTTATGGCCTCCTGGGCGGAGAGTTTGGAGCAGGAACCCAGGATCCAAGCCGCAGTCTGTCAGACTCTCAGCCTGGATTAATGAACCCATGAATCTGTGCGTGCTCCCCCTCCAAAAGCGATGAATCTCCGGTAACACCAGGACACCCCCATATGAATAAACAGGGGCCGATTTATCCGGGGTCCACTTTACCCTCCCTCCCCCCTTTTCCGGAGGGGGGGAGCTTTGGGACCCAAATTTCATGTTCCAGTCCCGCCCAGAAAAGGGAAGATGGAACTCTGAATGGAACTCCGGGGGGTCACACCTACCGGGTGCGGACCACCCGTTGCCAT